TGTATGTTTCTCTGAATAGACGCATTGCATAAAACTTGCCAAATGTTTTTATTGAGTATTTGTGACTACATCTCCAACTTTACTTGCGCAATAAGGCTACTTCTAAACACAGAATTGAACCCCGGAAATGTTATCAAAAACGCAACCTGACTTCTGAGATGGTAATGTGTTCTCCATGATTTTCATGTAACTCATGCTGCACGTGCTGTTCACCGGGACCAGCCCTATAAAATGCACCCCCATACCTGGTTGAATCATTCACACTACAACGTTAGCAGCATGCCACAACTCACCACAGCTCAGAGGTACACTGAAAAAAAACTTGTGTTGGATCTCAACACAAGTACTTGTGTGAAAATTATTCTACACAAGTTATGTGTTGTTTTGCATTGCATTAACACAAACTTGTGTTCTTTTTAATGCATTAACACAAATCTTGTGTTTTTTCCATATAATTAACACAAGTAATGTGTACCGTCAACAAATATTTTTTTTTTTAAATTTGAACTCCATACAAAGTCTTAATCCGGGGTCCACAAGTAAGAGAAAGGTATTTTTTACTCAGACAATATAGCCAGACAGACTTGAATGCTAATTGGTGTTAAGATGTCTGTAGTTAAAATAAAGTTGGGCCCAATAAACTGGTAGATCAAAGGCCTGTTGAGCGCTCATGCCCGGTGTGATTTTAACAATTGACTCCAAATGCGTTGACAAGAAAATAAGTAAAACTGTTATTGAATGTGATTGGTTGATAAAATCAACGTACTATAGGCTACATTTTGTCTGCGATATCATCTAGGTGGAAGCGGACATTAAATGAAGTGATTTCACACAATTCATTTAACATTTAACAACTTGCTGAAATGATTTTGGAGCAGTGATATGTTTGACAAATGTAAGCTAAGCTCGACTTGAACCAGCAGGTAAGAATCTGTTTTGAAATTATATCTTGGGAGGTTGGATTGGCGTTGGAGACCCGATTGGCGGCCATTTTGATTCTTGTTTCATGATTTTTTTTATATTATAACGATTTTGCCAAGAGTAGACATAAACGCGGGCACAGACTAGAAAAAAATCTTTTTACACTTTTGTGTTAGTTGAATTGTAATCTAATTTATGTTTAAAAAAACAACCTTAAATCTAATAAGCAGACGGAAGATATGGACGAACAACAAGAAGAAGTTATGGAGGTCCCAACAACTGAACCTATGGAAGTAGAAGAATCGTTTACAGCCGAAACCCGATACGATGTGCCAGTTCCGGTCATGGAGTCCGGTCACGGCATCTCAGACGATGCCGACGTTAGTGTCTTCTGCGACGAAGAACCCGTAGTGGTGTATACGCAGGTAGAAGCTGGTTCCTCCCGTGGCAAGTCCAAGTTGTTTGACAACCAAGGGTTTAGTTATACAATTAAGGTAGGGTGATTTATTTTACCTAGTTAACTACCTTGTATAGAAATGTATTTCAGCTACAAAATGTAAAGATAATTAACTCTAGTTAACCTAGTTAACTCTATAATAATAAATGAATTTAATATATTTTAGACAAAGAAGAAAACTACGATTTGGAGGTGTTCCATCTTCACCCAGCAGAACCCGGTATACACACGGCTACCAAGATAAAAGTTACAGTAGGTTTAAAAATTATATATCAATTAAATTAAAAATTTATATATGTGTGTAAATAAATAAAATATAAATAAACCAATAATATATTTGTAGTTTAATATGTTTTATCTTATCATTACAGGCAAAGCATGAAGCCAAAGGAAATGTTTTTACCAAGTCATGTTCCTCAATAGCGGAGAGAGTTTTATCCAGTGTCGGTTCTGCAGAAGAACCCATTCATAGCAGACCACCCATGACAGCACTTGTAAGGTCGCTACAAAGAACCCGACAGACTCTGCGACCAAAAGATCCCACTGACGTGTCGTCAAGCGTAAGTATTCATGCAATTAAATACCCATGTATATAAGAATTTAATAAATGTACAATTTTATTTATTTATTAACATGTAATTAAATGTACTTTTTTATTTATTTTTTGTTTTAGCTTGACGAAGATTTCATTGATCATAGTGCACCGGGATTTTATCAAAAAAGAGTAAAAGTTGGGGAAAGGCGCCATCACATTTTTTGTACTGATAGACAGATGCAACTACTCGCACGCGCAAAAACTTGGTATATGGATGCAACTTTTGGGGTGGTGAACAAGCCATGGTCTCAGCTGTTTTCCATCCACGCCTTCATTAAGACTAGAGAGACCACCCGACAGTTACCATTGGTGTTTTGTGTAATGTCGGGTCAAAGCCAAGACGACTATTATAAGGTAAATAGCACTTACTGATTGAATTACTATTAATACACTGAAAAAAAACTTGTGTTGGATCTCAACACACGTACTTGTGTGAAAATTATTCTACACAAAACTTGTGTTGTTTTGCATTGCATTAACACAAACTTGTGTTCTTTTTAATGCATTAACACAAATCTTGTGGGTTTTTTCATATAATTAACACAAGTAATGTGTACCGTCAACAAATATTTTTTTTTTAAATTTGAACTCCATACAAAGTCTTAATCCGGGCGTCCACAAGTATAAGAAAAGTATTTTTTACTCAGACATGATGGCCAGACAGACTTGAATGCTAATTGGTGTTAAGATGTCTGTAGTTAAAATAAAGTTGTTGATTTTTTATGGGCCCAATAAACTGGTAGATCAAAGGCCTATTGAGCGCTCATGCCCGGTGTGATTTTAACAATTGACTCCAAATGCATTGACAAGAAAATAAGTAAAACTATTATTTAATGTGATTGGTTGATAAAATCAATGTACTATAGGCTACAGTTTGTCTGCGATATCATCTCTGTGCAACCGGACATTAAATGAATTGATTTCACACAATTCATTTACCATTTAACAGCGTGCTGAAATGATTTTTGAGCAGTGATATGTTTGACAAATGTAAGCTAATGGTCACAGAGAATAAAAGACCGCAGGTTTGTGAATATTTATATAAAAAAATAATACCATTTATTTTATGATCAGTAGTGGAATACCGCGTTTTATCAGTGAAATAAAAGTGTTATTCCACTGGCTAGTTGTTTTTACCTAAAATGATTGTAAAATCATAAAATAAATAGAACATTACGCATTCGTGAAAATATAAGTTTTCTTGCTTCTCGATGAAATAAAATATGTTATTCACTCTAAAACGACAAATATCCTCTATGTATGTAATTTAGCATCGATATTGTTTTTGTGTATAATATTAGTATTTCGTTTCCTTAAAAAAAACTCCAACAATTTAACCCGGAAGTTCATGTTTAAAATGGCGGGCGGGGACAGGGAAAAAATTTCGGCATGTTATTATCAAATCTGTTCAATTTTTCTGAAATCGTGCTTAATTAACATTAGTTGTTCGGCGCTACGATGTTGTTCAAATACGTACATTACAGAATCACATTATGATTAAACCAGAAACGACTCGACTTGAACCAGCAGGTAAGAATCTGTTTTGAAATTATATCTCGGGAGGTTGGATTGGATTGGCGGCCATTTTGATTCTTGTTTCATGATTTTTTATATTATAAAGATTTTGCCAAGAGTAGACATAAACGCGGGCACAGACTAGAAAAAATCTTTTTACACTTTTGTGTTAGTTGAATTGTAATCTAATTTATGTTTAAAAAAACAACCTTAAATCAAATAAGCAGATATTTTCCCCAAACCCTCCGTTCAACCTCTGACTCTGTCACTCTGTGGAATATTATTAGGCCCCTATTTTCCTGATTCAGTCACAGTTTATAAATAATAAATAATGGAACTAGAATCAGTCTGTGGAAGTTTCTCTATAGTTTCATTATTTTTTCCAGTCAGTGATGATATGACTCATTCCACCTTACAGTTACAGCAATTACCGTATTGAGAATTTACCGTTCAAGGACTCCATTTTGGCATTGAATTGGAATTTGAAGAAAAACTGGTAACAATTTCATTTAATTTTTATATTTTCTATTTTTTTTTTTTTTACCAATGTCCTACAATGATTAGTGTATGTGAACATACAATCCCAAGTAAAGTATTTATATGACACTTACATGCAACAGAGAGAGAGAAAAATGACATAAACAAGGCCTTACATGTACTTGTATTTGAAGAATCAAGTAGTCCAAGCTATGCCTATATGCATACCGGTAATCAACTACGACGACGATTAGCTTTCTTCCGTTTCCACCCTTTCCCTGCACACTGTTCCATTCTACTTAGCCTACAGACGCTAGGTCGTTTCGGGAAAAAGGACAGGTAAGGTTAAATTTGATATGAATAATTCGTTTGCTGGTATGGGTATTTAGCAAACGGAGGAAACCGAATGGCCCAGAGAAAAACTCAAGAGATTGGACAGGCGACTCTACTCCTTGAAATCGAAACCATGCCACTTAACACAATGACAGACCCTGTGATTTCATGTGAATGCATTAACTACCAGACCATTCCCCCCAGCCCCACCCCATATTGAATAAAAGTATGGCTTATTTCAAATATGATATTTACATATAAAGAAAGTAGAGAGACTTCAATCTTACTAGAAAAATACTAGATTACCTGAAATGAAATGGGGTTTAAAGACAACGTCCTACTGTTCAGCTCCGACTGGTCTAATGCAGTGTGCTAAGAGAAAATGTTTGTCCGGGCAGCGACACTATGGCCTACTCTCATAGCGAATTCAAACTGCCAAGAACTTTTATGTGTACGCCAATGTGTACATTGGATCTCAGGGGAAACCACTCTGAAAAATCAAGATGAGCTTTCTCGGTCAACCCCAAGAGGTAACCTGTGGCCTCCATGCTAGTATTCCAGCACCTAACTCACTCAGTCACCATGGTCGTCTTCTAATTACTGCGACATTGAAACCATGTGACAAACAAGGATTATAAAAATAGATTTTTACGGCTTAGGTAGTTCCTTGGGATTAAAATTTTTGATACATATAGATACATTAAGATCATGTAACAAAAGAAATTATAAAAGTAAAAAAATGGAAGAAGAAATGGCTGGAAAAAATGATGATAGAGCAGCTTTTTCTTGGTGGGTAACTATTCAATTCTTATAGAAAAGATTGCTGTTATGCTATTTTGAAATCTAAAATTCAGTTTAGTATAGTAAAACTGTACACGTACATGTATGAGCACAGACAGAATCGTAGTTAGATATGACTGTCTCATCTGTGGCAAAGCAAACCAACACATGAAACAAAACAAATGTAGTTAAATTAACATTTTTTGACTTAATCAAAACTGTCTAGTCAATTTAAGCCAACTAATGTAATACATTGCATATTTTTTTTCAGTTAGCCACCTCGGAAGATCAAGACAGCTGGAAAGGGCTATTGATATTGTGGAAGTGTTTTCTTACAGAGGTTGCTTATCAGACAAAGGCTATGTAAGTACCATGCATATTTGCTTTTTGAATCAGGAACTGGTTCTATACACTTGGTGGGGGGGGGGGGTGGATGGCCGAATGGTTAGCATGTGCGTGCTGTATCATACGGCCTGTCATCCTCGGTTGTACGTGACAAGGAGTAGGGTTGCCTGTTCAACCTCGTGGGTTTTCTCCACGTCCTCCGGTTTCCTCCCACTGCTAAAGACCTATATGACTTCAAAACTATAAGATGGATGCAATGTTACACCCTTTCATAATCATTATTATAAAGCGTTCAAATGCATGAATTTGTAAAATATAATTAATATCATATTGTAATACTGTTTGCAATACTGTATTCACCACTGCCTTAGTGGAGATAGTTGGTAAATTAAATGATTATTTTTTCATTTTGTCTTTTTTTCAAGATTTTTCTTCTGGCTTCTGACCCATTGAGGCATAATAATCTACCTGGGTCTGTAACTTGAAAAGATACAATAAGTATTATGCAAAGTTGAAACAAAATAGAGACTCAACGTGTGGAAAAATAAGTTATTTATTTAAAAATTGTGAACCGTAGAAAGTATATTTATTGCCAACTCAACCACATACTATCATCCAGGGTTTATGGACCTACTTATAGTCCAACCTTCGACGATGGGTTGTATGTTGAATCTAGTTGGAGGTGTACGGTTGAACATACAATAATTCAATAACTCACTTCTCTTAGTATAATCTTATATTCTGTAACAATATCTAACAAAGATAATATATACATATAATACTGACCCACAGGCTAGGTAACGTAATAAGGAACAGCATCTAAGAAATAACTTTTCACTATATCAGAGACCTGCCCTTCAGTATGTCCTCTGCCTGCCTGTGGTTAACTGCCCTTTTCTTTAATATACAATTTTTAGGACTTTTATACCTTAGCTTTGTTTTTAGTTACAATATAATCCTTAATACCTTACTGGAATAACTTTACAATAGATAATAATTTATGAAACAATGTCTCTCTAATATAATTACAGAGTTTATTTTAATTAGGATTCTGGCTAATCTATAATGGCTCTGGCCTCAAATTAACTATGCTCTAATTCTACCTGGTCATAATACTTGAATATTAAGCCATCAAATTATTTTATAATTTTGAAAATGAAATGAAATGGGGTTTAACATCCTACTGTTTTGCTCATAAACTGGGCTAATGAAGACAGGCATACACCATACAGTGTGCTATGAGGGAAATTTTGCCCGGGCAGTGGCGCTACAGCCTACTCTTATATCGAATTCCAACTGCCAAGGGATCTTTTACATGCACGCCAATGTGTACACAGGACCTCGTTTTTTTTATCCCATCCAAACGACTAGACAGCTGTCCTTGTCAGGTCCTCCGTCCTGTATCACTGACAAGGGGAAGACACGTCGGAAAATCTGGATGAACTTTCTCAGCCAATTCAGGGATCGAACACCCGACCTCCAGGCTAGTGGGCCAGCGTCGTACCCTCTTAGCCATGTGATCTCCTTATAATTTTGAAAAAGAATATAGTGATTGTAAAAGCTAATAAGTTATCAGTTGCATTTTATTTTTGTTTTTAATGTTAAATATCCCTCTCAAACACAATTATATTTTAATTCTCTCCAGAAATTTGTGTAAAATATAGACTGTAAATTAAAACTTTCATCTTTTAACTGTTGAGTCAATTTAAGTCATCTAATACATAGTATGTTTTTTTCCAGTTAACTACATCAGAAAGATAAAAACAGTTGGAAATGGCTATTCATATTGTGGAAACTTTTCTCACAGAGCTTGATAATCAGGCAAAATGTAAGTAACATACATATTTGTATTTTTAATCAGGAAGTAGTTTTATACACTTGCTTGGTAATCTAGTTATTCTTCTTGGGGCAATGCCTAGGACTCAGCTATTTCAAGTACTTGGCATGCTTGATTTTTGCCAATCACATCCATTACAGTAAATAGCAGTAAAATAATGATGGACAATATTTTACTTTTCAAATAGATTTCAATAGATTTTAAAGGGTAATATCCAATTTGTTGTCAATGGAAATAAAATAAGAATGGGTCCAAAAATAATTAGACATTGCCAAGTAAATAGGTGCTGCCAATGATGTAGTAGGGAATCTGGATTTGCAGACAATACATGTATGAACCGGGTGAATAGTTGACCTATTATGAGACTTCAGTCCCAAATCTCAAGACTTTTTTCTGACTTGGCCTGACAAAGACAGCTGTCTAGTCCTTCCGATGAGATGAATATTGGAATGCACGTAAAAGATCCCCTGGCAGTTGGAATTCGATATAAGAATAGATGATAGTGCCGCTGCCCGGGCAAAAATTCCCTCATAGCACACTGTGTGGCATATGCCCGTCATTATTAGCCCAGTATAGGAGCAGAACAGTAGGACGTTAAACCCCATTTCATTTCATTTTTCTGACTTTTAACCCATTTGATTTGAGCATAATAATCTGCCTGGGTCTTTAAGTGGACAAGACACAATAAGCGTTACGCAAAGTTGAAACCAAATAGAGACTCAGTCTCGATGTGGCAAAATAAATTGTTTATTTAAACATTGTATTCTTATTGCCTACTTTTTATTTTTTTGGCTGGAACACCCTTGAAAGAGTATTTGGTGTATGATAACAACAAGAGAACCCAAGCATCAATTTATTTTATACTTCTGGGAAAGAATGCATTTGACCCAATTTTTAAATATTTATTTTTTGTTTTTAATGTTAAATTTTCTTCCAAAACACAATTAGATTTTAATTCTCTTCAAATATGTATGTATAATATAGCAAGTAAACTGACATATAAATCACTTAGAATTTGGTCGGAAATCATAAAGTATTTAATAGGCATTACTAGAAACCAAATGTAGATCAAATACACCCAGAATTACAAAAAACCTTGACCTACATTAAGGTGACTTTCCCTTGCTTATGAAATGAAATACGTTTTAATATCCTGCTTTTCTGTGTTCTTAGAGTGATTCTACCCTACCCTTATATCAAATATTTCAACTGTCAAGGGTTCTTTAAAGGGTACCCAGGGGAGCCGAATGGTTAACACGCACACATTTGATCAGAAGGTCTGTCATTGATTCAAATAATTCAATTTTCAAGGGTTCTTCAAAGTGTACGCAGTTGGGTTGGTTTCAATTCTGGGGGGTGGGGGTGGATGGCCGAATGGTTAGCACGTGCATGCTGTATCATACGGCCTCCTGTCATTGAGTCAACTGGCATGGTTTCGAATCCCCGGTTGTAGACAAGGAGTAGGGTCGCCTGTCCAATCTTGAGGGTTTTCTCCGGGACCTCCGGTTTCCTCCCACTGCTAAAGACCCCTACGCGCTAGCGAATTATTGAAATAAAATTAAACCATATGTTAGTCCCAAAATGATCTAGTTTGTGTCGAGTAGACGTTAAACCCCATTTCTCTCTGTCTCTCTCTCTTTTGATTCTGGGCTTGTACCCAATTATCCCTTGCCATATCCAACACTGAAAAGTGGGAACTATGCCGGAAAATCCAGTTGAAATTTCGCGGCCAACGCCTTATGCTCACTGAACCACTGTGGCTTATGACTTGTGATTGTATATAAATCTTTTGTACATATGATATGATATTTTTTTATTTCAATCCTGTAATCTTGATGCTTTGCTTCTTTTACTTATAAAATATTCATTTTGTTTGGGTTTTTTTAATGAGGAAAAGGCTCTACATCATTTTATTACTCCTGCAAAATAGAGCAATTTTCTTTTGTTAGTTTTCTGTGTATGCTAGTTATTTCTAGATGCCTCACAAATCATTTGTAGTGTGATTTTGTAGCATTTTTTTAATTTTTTGAAATTGTTTCAATTTAGTGCATAATTAATCTTATTAGTGCTTAGTTTGGATGTTATTAAATTTAGATATATTTGAATTATATATTTTGGGGTATGGGGTAGGGATACTGTGTACATATCTTTATATTCTCAGTTCTTGTTTTGGGGTAAAGAACAATTTAAATAGCTATTTTATATTTTGTGATGGGTAAAGTGTGTGGGGCAAAAAACAATTTAAATAGCTATTTTATATTTTGTGATGGGTAAAGTGGGGTGGGGGGTCATTATATATAACACAATATAATTTGTATTAGAATTGAAGTCTCTGTTTTTCTGTTAACATTTCAAATATCTATTTAGTTTTGATGTATTAATTTACTTTTTCCTATGATTTTATGAATAAATAATAATCTTACAAAATTTTTTTTTGTTTCCTTCTTTTATCAAACTTTACAGGTCTAACAGAGCAAAGAGAGGGGTCCTGCATAGCAAGGTTGCTATGCTAGATATAAATTGGGGGAAAATACAACACAAGTTTTTGATGATGGTTATACACAAGTTTGTATGAAACCACACAAGTTTCAGAAATTTTAACACAAGTTTCAGAAATTTCAACACAAGTTTCAACACAAGTATTGTGTAGATTTCACACAAGTTTCAACACAAGTTTTGTGTTGTTTGATACATTTTAACACAAGTTTTGTGTTGTTTCAACATTTAACACAAGTTTTGTGTTGTTTTAACACAAGTTTGTGTTGTTAAATAGAGACACCTAACTTGTGTTGAATTTAACACAAGTTTGTGTTCTTTCAACACAAGTTTTTTTTCAGTGTAGTAAAAAAGGACTATTATTTGGGACCTTGAAATTGTCACAAATGGGTCGCACTAACAGCGACATTTGTTTCAGGCATATTTGTTTCATCGGTGACACGTCTGGTGTCATGTGAATGCAACGACAACAGCCTGGTTGACTGATTTGTTGATTGGAGTTCAGATGTCTACATTAAAATCGACCACTTTCAGGTTGCCGTATTCACGGCCAGGCAAGACCGACTTGAAATTTCTAGAAATTTTTCTGGGGGAGACAGGCCCCAACAAATCCCCCGACGGTGCGTTTCACGACTTTGGCGCAAGACGGTGACCTTGAAGAGACGTCGAAAACCATTTAATAGACATAGTAAAAGTCATATCTTACGAGATTATCGCTGTCTTGTCAGAAAATGCTATTTTATATATGACCAGTTTGTGTTTGAAAAATTTAAAAAGAAATTATTTATTCTCCCACCATTAAAGCACACTAATTACGAAATATCGCTCTCAGAAACTTCATGGTTTCTTTTGCAATTTGTTTGGGGTAAGACGTTATATAAATAATATCACTCTGTCTACCACACAAATTTAACAGATACAAATGCATGTTATTCCACAGGTAGACAGACAGGGCCTCCTTTGAAGGGACTCAGTAAAGGGAACGCGGTTGGTTTAGAGTTTGTCTGACCCCTTTGAATATTTGCGTCTCATCTCCAATGAAAACATTCATGTTGCTCTCATGCTGTTCTCAACCAGAATCAAACATATATCGTACCCGAGATTTGTTAGCATGTTCCACACAACCCAACATTTATCGGCACCGGAATTAAGGGTGTATATCTTTGTTTCTAACGCTTATTGGGAATACGCCACGGAAACTACAATAAAAACTTATTTACAAAAACATTCTAAAGAGTGAAAACTGACATATTTCAAGCTTTACTGTATTTAAAGAAATAATTTAAATCAGCCGGCTGAAACCCCGTCTCCGCTATTTGTTCAGTCATTCTTTAGGTATAGTGCCAGTTTCCACCGACAATGATATTGCAAACAAGTGTCCAATATATAAAAGCATACATTCCTACAAAATGTTTCTTTAGTCAAGTGAAACAATAAATTCATAACTATGCGAGGGTGTGGTGAGTAAATTCGTGGTAATAGTCTGAAAAGGCTAATGTGACATAGAACAAGGTCACATTGATGTTGACAAATACGTAAGACGATATGAACATCAACTAAAAAGATATGTAATGTGATTCAGCTGTAAGGTGATATATGCATATATGCAGCATAGATAATCAAAACTTCTATTCAAGTTAAACCAACTGTATCTATTTATTTAAGTCTTACGTCGAGCTGAATACATTTTATGATTTATTGTCATCTATTGGTGGTTAACAGTGTGTAACTAAAAACTAAAATTGGGTCTTATTATTGCCAATGATATAATGTACATGTAATAGCAAGTGTATATATATTTTTTGTTCAGTCTGTACACAGTAACATATCTGAGAACCATATTATTATCATTTCTGCCCAAGGCTCCCTGTGCCTTATAGTTAGCAGTGATACAAGGCAATTACCAATTTTCCATGTTCTTGGCCTGAAGAAATAAAATAATAAAAGTAAAGTTTTTATTATTATGCAAGTGGAAAAATACAATTATTCATAGTATGATTTGAATAAATACAACTGATTTGAAGTTGGAATTATTATTTGTCTAAGATGACTGGGCATTTACAAATTGAAATAGCTACTCTTCATCAAGAAAATACATGAATATTTTTCCCAATTCACCTGGATTTTATTGTAGGTCTTTGTACGTGAAATAGCTTTATTTAACGTCCGCTACCACCGAAGTGATATTGCAGAAAATTAACAAATTCGGATTCCCTTTTAAAGGAAATTGACTGCACTATCGCTGGATTGTATTATATAGGTCATGTCAGTTTTTTTCAAAATGGCGCCCAGAACACAAAACAAACATTGCAATTCAAGGCGGACTGGTGTCGAGGCTGTATCCTAAGAATGATTTTTTGAATATTTAATCACACAGAAACACAAGTATGCACATGCAGTTATGATATAATATTAAATTAGCTTACCTCAAATACCTCGAAATATACTGTTTGGTCAGTTTGTCCGCCCGCCATATTTCTATTAGTCACACATCCTTCGGCCAATTAAAATGGACGTATATTTTGTTTTAACTGAATAGAAAAATTTGCGTTATAAATAGTAAACGAGCTTGATTGACCGACCACTGCTAATGTTTTTTCGTGAAACGGTATAACTGCAATCAACACACGGCCGCCATTCTCGATGATTGACAACTCACGTTTTTCCTCATCCACCAAAGAACCGTTAGGTTTCTTTGAACATACTGTAATAACATTGGGATTATCAGTTAATCAGCTTTAATTATCCCGCTTTGTTCGTTGCCATTTCTTATATTTTCCACAAAAAAACTTTGCCTTGTACGCACTAATATATCAATTGTTATTGCCATCTACGACAAGCATGTCAACGTGCAGCTCACGGATTATCGTTAACAATTTCTAGGGGCTTGTAAAAAAAGATTGCATGTCGTGTAAATATTTATTTTGTTTTTTGTGTAGGTCATTTTCAAATAAATTCATCAGCATATTATTCGTTTTAAATAAATATAAAACTTTTATGAGAAACGATGATTATCAAAGAACCGTAAGTGCAACTAATGTTTTATCGTTTGGTTGAGCCTTTTACTAACCACGTGTTTCATGTTAATAAATATTTTCTTTCGTGTTTTGAATTGGCCTATTTCTAATAAATTATCCCGAGTCCCAAACGTCGTTAACCCGAGTCCCAAACGACGTATACCAAAGTCCCAAACGTCGTATACCCGAGTCCCAAATGTCGTGGTCATATTTTTGCCTGATTCAGTCACAGTTAATAAATAATGGAACTAGAATCAGCCTGTGGAAGTTTCTCTATAGTTTTATTATTTTTTCCAGTCAATGATGATATGTGACTCTTTCCACCTTCCAGCATTTACCAAGGACTCCATTGGCATTGAATCGAAGAAAAACAGGTAAAAATTTCAATTAATTTTTATATTTTCTATTTTTTTTTTACCAATGTCCTACAATGATTAGTGTATGTGAACATACAATCCAAAATAAAGTATTTATATGGCACTTACATGCAACAGAGAGAGAGAGAGAGAGAGAGAGAGAAAGAGAAATGACATAAACAAGGCCTTACATGTACTTGTATTTGAAGAATCAAGTAGTCCATGCTGTGCCTATATGCATACATGTAGAGTTGTTGCAAGATGGGTCCTTATATCTACGCTAGGTCGTTTCGGGAAAAAGGACAGGTAAGGTTAAATTTAATATGAATAATTCGCTTGCGGGTATGGGTATTTAGCAAAAGGAGGAAACAAAAGGACCCAGAGATTAGAGAAGGTATGCTTCAATTTAATATGAATAATTCGCTTGGCGTAGGGGTACATGTATTTAGAAAACGGAGGAAACCGAATGACCCAGCGAAAAAACTCAAGAGATTGGACAGGCGACTCTACTCCTTGAAATTGAAACCATGCCACTTAACAGAATGACAAACCCTGTGACTTCATGCGCATGCATTACCTACTAGACCATTCCCCCCAGCCCCACCCCATATCGAATAAAAGTATGACTTATTTCAAATATGATATTTACATATAAAGAAAGTAGAGAGACTTCAATCTTACTAGAAAAATACTAGATTACCTGAAATGAAATGGGGTTTAAAGACAACGTCCTACTGGTCAGCTCCGACTGGTCTAATGCATTGTGCTAAGTGAAAATGTTTGTCTGGGCAGCGACACTATGGCCTACTCTCATACCGAATTCAAACTGCCAAGAGAGAGAACTTTTATGTGTACGCCAATGTGTACATTGGATCTCAGGGGAAACCATTCTGCAAAATCAAGATGAGCTTTCTCGGTCAACCCCAAGAGATAACCTGTGGCCTCCATGCTAGTGTGCCAGCACCTAATTTACTCAGTCACCATGGCCGTCGTCTAATTACTGCGACAGTTAAACCATGTGACAAACAAGGATTATTAAGATAAACTTTTACGGCTTAGGTAGTTCCTTGGGATTAAAACTTTTGATACATATAGATACATTAGTTTCAATTTCATATCACACAGTTTGTATATATGGTAAGGTAGCTTTAATCGTATATTACATATCATGTATTTATTTTTTCAGTTTCAATATTGGATGTATATGCAAATCAGCCAGAAAAAGATCATGTAATAACAAAAGAAATTATATAAGAAAAAAATGGAAGAAGAAATGGCTGGAAAAAATGATGATAGAGCAGCTTTTTCTCGGTGGGTAACTATTCAATTCTAATAGAAAAGATTGTTATGCTATTTTGAAATCTAAAATTCAGTTTAGTATAGTAAAACTGTACACGTCATGTATGAGCAGAGACAGAATCTTAGTTATATGTAGATATCACTGTCTCGTCTGTGGCAAAGCAAACCAACACATGAAACAAAACAAATGTAATTAAATTAACATTTTTTTAATTAATCAAAACTGTCTAGTCAATTTAAGCCAACTAATACATTGCTATTTTTTTTTTCAATTACCCACCTCGGAAGATCAAGTTGGAAAGGGCTATTGATATTGTGGAGACGTTTTCTCACAGATCTTGCTTATCAGACAAAGACTATGTAAGTACCATGCATATTTGCTTTTTAAATCAGGAACTGGTTCTATACACTTGGTGGGGGGGGGGGGGTTGGATGGACGTTAAACCCCATTTCTCTCTCTCCTAAATATTGAGATTTTTGTTTACTTTTAAACTGCATATATTCAAGGTATCAGGAGCTTTTTATGGCTCCCGTACAATTTTATAAACATGAAGGACTGTACCTTTTGAATATTAAGCCATCAAATGATTTTATAATTTTGAAAATGAAATGAAATGGGGTTTAACATCCTACTGTTTTGCTCATAAATTGGGCTAATGAAGACGGGCATACGCCATACAGTGTGCTATGAAGGGAATTTTGCCCGGGCAGCGGCGCTACAGCCTACTCTTATATCGAATTCGAATTGCCAAGGAATCTTTTACGTGCACGCCAATGTGTACACGGGACCTCGCTTTTTCGTCCCATCCGAACGACTAGACAGCTGTCCTTGTCAGGTCCTCCGTCCTGTATCACTGACAAGGGGAAAACACGCAAAATGTAAGTAACATATATATTTGTATTTTTAATCAGGAAGTACTTCTATACACTTGCTTGGTAATCTAGTTATTCTTCTTGGGGCAATGCCTAGGACTCTGCTGTTTCAAGTACTTGGCATGCTTGATTTTTGCCAATCACATCCATTGATTTCCTTCAAGTTGTGATAGGCCCTACATGTATGTGTATTTTTACAGTAAATAGCAGTAAAATAATGATGGACAGTATTTTACTTTCAAATAGATTTCAATAGATTTTAAAGGGTAATATCCAATTTGTTGTCAATGGAAATAAAATAAGAATGGGTCCAAAAATAATTAGACATTGCCAAGTAAATAGGTGCTGCCATGATGTAGTAGGGAATCTGGATTTGCAGACAATACATGTATGAAAGGGTGAATAGTTGACCTATTATGAGACTTCAGTCCCAAATCTCAAGACTTTTTTCTGACTTCTAACTCATTTGATTTGAGCATAATAATCTGACTGGGTCTGTAACTGGACAAGACACAATAAGCGTTACGCAAAGTTGAAACCAAATAGAGACTCGGTCTCGATGTGGCAAAATAAATTGTTTATTTAAACGTTGTGAACCATAGAAAGTATTCTTATTGCCTACTTTTTATTTTTTAGGCTGGAACACCATTGAAAGAGTATTTGCTGTATGATAACAACAAGAAAACCCAAGCATCAATTTATTTTATACTTCTGGGAAAGAATGCATTTGACCCAATTTTTAAATATTTATTTTTTGTTATTAATGTTAAATTTTCTTCCAAAACACAATTAGATTTTAATTCTCTTCAGAAATGTATGTATAATATAGCAAGTAAAGTGACATATAAATCACTTAGAATTTGGTCAGAAATCATAAAGTATTTAATAGGCATTACTAGAAACCAAATGTAGATCAAATACACCCAGAATAACAAAAAACCTTGACCTACATAAAGGTGACTTTCCCTTGCTTATGAAATGAAATACGGTTTAGTATCCTACTTTTCTGTGTTCTTAGAGTGATTCTGCCCTACACCTTACTCTTATATCCAATATTTCAACTGTCAAGGGTTCTTTAACGGGAACCCGGGGGTGGGGGGGCAATGATTAACACACACACATTTGATCAGGAAGTCTGTCATTGAGTCAAATAATTCAATTGTCAAGGGTTCTTCTAAGTGAACGCAGTGGGGGTGGTTTCGATTCCGGAAATGGGGGAGGGGGTGGTGGATGGCCGAATGGTAAGCACGTGCGTGCGGTATCATACGGCCTGTCATTGAGTCAACTGGCGTGGTTTCGAATCCCCGGTTGTACGTGACAAGGAGTAGGGTCGCCTGTCCAATCTTGTGGGTTTTCTCCGGGACCTCCGGTTTCCTCCCACTGCTAAAGACCCCTATGCGCAACGAATTATTGAAATAAAATTAAACCATATGTTAATCCCGAAATGACCTAGTTTGTGTCAAGTGGACGTTAAACCCCATTTCTCCCTCTCTCTCTCTCTTTCGATTCCGGGCTTGTACCCAATTATCCCTTGCCATATCCAACACTACTGACAAGTGGGAACTATGCCGGAAAATCCAGTTGAAATTTCTCGGCCAACACCTTATACTCACTGAACCACTGTGGCTTATGACTTGTGATTGTATATAAATTTTTTGTACATATGATATTTTTTTATTTCAATCCTGTAATCTTGATGCTTTGATTCTTTTATTTACAAAATATTCATTTTGTTTGGGGTTTTTTTAATGAGGAAAAGGTTTTACAACATTTTATTACTCCTGCAAAATAGTGCATTTTTCATTTGTTAGTTTTCTGTGTATATTAGTTATTTCTATATGTCTCACAAATCACTTGTAGTGTGATTTTGTAGCACTTTTCAGTTTTTGAAATTGTTTCAATTTAGTGCATAATTAATCTTAGTGCTTGGTTTGGATGTTATTAAATTTAGATATTATTTGAATTATATATTTTGGAGTATGGGGTAGGGATACTGTGTACATATCTTTATATTCTCAGTTCTTGTTTTGGGGTAAAGAACAATTTATATAGCTATTTTATATTTTGTGATAGGTAAAGTGTGTGGGGTTAAGAACAATTTAAATAGCTATGTTATATTTTGTGATGGGTAAAGTGGGGTGTGTGTGTGTGTGTGTGTGTGTGTGTGGGGGGGGGGGGTCATTATATATAACACAATATAATTAGTATTATAATTCTCTGTTTTTCTGTTAACATTTCAAATATCTATTTAGTTTTGATGTATTAATTTACCTTTTCCTATGATTTTATGAATAAATAATAATCTTACAAAAACAAAAAAAACTTTTGTTTCCTTCTTTTATCAAACTTTACAGGTCTAACAGAGCAAAGAGATGGGTCCTGCATAAAAAGGTTGCTATACTGTATATAAATTGGAGAAAAACACAACACAAGTTTTTGTGGATGGTCATACACTTGTTATTAAACCACACAAGTTTCAGAAATTTCAACACAAGTTTCAGAAATTTCAACACAAGTTTCAAAAATTTCAACACAAGTTTCAAACATTTCAACACAAGTATTGTGTAGATTTTCACACAAGTTTCAACACAAGTTTGTGTTGTTTGATAAATTTTAACACAAGTTTTGTGTTGTTTCAACATTTAACACAAGTTTTGTGTTGTTTCAACACAAGTTTGTGTTGTTAAATAGAGACACCTTACTTGTGTTGAAAACAACACAAGTTTGTGTTGTTTCAACACAAGTTTTTTTACAGTGTACCAGGCGCTTGGAAGACTCCACGCTGGCCAGACTGCCCAAGCCGTTGCCAATCACTTGCAGGTCAATGTTCGGACCATCTACAGGCTTTCGGGAAACCAACACCACGGGTTACCACAATGCGACAAGAATGTAATGTTTCAAAGAAGGAATATAATTGCTTGTCCTTGGTAAAATAGTGGCAAAATTGAGCCAAACCCTGTTTTGAACATTGTTTTACAAACGCATCTGCTGTACAGTGTTACCAATCTTCAATTTTATGAAGGAAAGCGGAAGCATTTTCTAAACCTGTGAAAAATAAAATCAGAAATATAACATTTCTTGTGAAAAAACCCCCAAACCTTCTGCCTTCTAGTCACCAAAAAAAAAGAAGTGTCCGAAATCCTATTATCTTTTAACCAATCTGCATTGTGCGACAGTTTTCGGGCAAAATTTAGGATACTTTTGGGCAAGGGGAAGGCGACACATGCTAGAATGGATTTGACGTATATCTGAGCCACGGCATACCATACATTGACATTTGGTTGAGGGATTATGATTAAGTCCTGAAGATGTGAACATGGACATAGTTAGCAGCAATCAAGAACTAAACGAGTAAAGAAAACCAAGCATTTTGAATATTATGGAAATATTAATCCGGTTGTGAAATCTAATCTGTAAGTCATCAGTGGAAGTCGGCATGGGTCCCTTGACTGAAAATGTCAACAGGCATATTCTAGTCATTGTCCGTCGCACACACACAAATGCAATTTGTATGTCAGTATGGTCGATAGATTTATTTGGCACAACATAAATTAAATCTTAAAATATTTGTTTAGAACTAATTTTTTTTTTGGGGGGGGGGGCGGGGGGCTCCTTAAACATTGGGGCTCTTGGCCGCAATCTGGTCGGAACCCCGCGTAATCTTGGCAAGGTGGAAATGACTAAACAATCTCCCAAAATATGAGCCTCCGTCATTTTCTCCAGAAATTTGTGCCAAAATCCTACACTTCTTGATTGGCCCAGGGCAACAAGTACAGTTACTACTCATCTGTTGTCAGTGGTGGGCTAGGTCTCAGACCACCAGACTGAGAAAAACACAATTTGACATATTTTTTTTTTTCAAAATAACTAAAATTCATCTTCGTATCCACTGAAAAAAAAATAATGTCCTCAATCTGAGGAGAAAAATGATCTATATGAGTGAGGTGCAGGAATTGTCAAACTAGTTTCGTTTTCTCGTCATGTCACTTATTCTTCATCGCGATTGGCGGGGGGGACGAAACCAGTTGGTCGGAGGATATAGAGCTACCCAGTCCTCCCCTGACAATTTTAATCCGGGGATAAATGTGGATTTAAAAATCGAATTCAGAGGAACTTAGATACCCGCCATACAATAGGTCGTTTCCTGTCCAACTGAGGACTAAAGCCAACGAATAAGGAGGATTGATCAATGGTGCATGTACATGTACGTACATTGAGAGGGCGCTTTTTCGGAACAGAGGGTACATAGCCACACGAATTCATATACCCTAGCTGGGAATCTCACCGGATTCGATTGCTATCAACCATTTCCAGTTTCTTTTGTTTTTGCAAACACCACCTACCCTGCCTACCCACCCAGTACGCCTCTAATAAAGCTGAAGATATAACTTCTCTTACATAATATTCTAATAACACGGTATTTTTATATAGCAATCATTCATTTCATTTTATTAAATATAAAATATATTATGTGTATTGAAAATTTCATAAATCTATACAATCTGTTGTATAGGACAGGCTACTCGGTTTGAGCGGACATTTTTAATGTCATAACTTTATTTATTATAACTGTATATGTGTTGCCTTTCATGTGTAATCAATTTAATTTTCACATATCTATGCAATCTGCTGTATATAAGCTACTCTGAGATGATATTTTTTAATACTATAGGCTTAACTTTGTAGATTTAATATAACTTTATAATTTATTTTTATATATTATGTGTTGCTTTTCACTGTGTAAAACAAATTTCCCCTGGAAAAATTAGGTATTACCTCATTCTCGTTTTAAAACAAAAGAAAATTTATATTAACTCCACACAACCAATTATATTCTTAATGTTTTGGGAATGGCGTCACTGGCTTCAATCGTCATAATGGTAAAATGACGTCATGCCGTCTCCAGTTCGTCAAAACTTCATGCTTCACACTTAGGAGGGTTTTCCGCATTTCACCACAACCTCACCACACTATTTAATTTTTGTGGACATTATTCCTGGTAATAGCACACAGTTTTATATGGGCTTTGATGGTGACAAAAATATAAGAAAAGACACTGATGGCTTTAAAGGAATCATAGACTTTGAATTGGAGTTGGTGATGCATAATTACTTTAATCGGTTGTATCATTTTCAGGCGAAATTAAGTTCCCATGGTTACTATTCCATATTTAAATTATTTTAGTACATTTTAGTCCTATAATGTATTTCATGATGTTAAAGTAATAAAAGTTTTCTGGAAGATTTTTCTTTATTTGAATGATTTCTATTTTCGGTGTTTTCTCAAAACTTCAAATTTAGGGCATACGGCCTGTCATTGAGTCAACTGGTGTGGTTTCGAATCCTCAGTTGTACGTGACAAGGAGTAGGGTCGCCTGTCCAACCTCGTGGGTTTTCTCCGGGTCCTCCGGTTTCCTCCCACTGCTAAAGACCCCTACGCGCAAGCGAATTATTGAAATAAAATTAAACCATATGTTAGTCCCGAAATGACCTAGTTTGTGTCGAGTGGACGTTAAGCCTCTCTCTCTCTCTCTCTCTCTCTCTCTCTCTCAAATTTAGGGTTAAATCGCATTTGCATAACACCGTCCAATTATTGTTTACAGTTTTTCGACCAAAATTAGATTTCAAGATAATTTAATACCTGAGTTCTCTCTTAACTTAAATGTGAATGGACAGATTCGTCTAAATTATTGCATACTTTGTAATGTAAACATGTAGTAGTCATATGGATAAAAAGTTAGACGAATCTGCCACTTTAAATTATCTTAAAATATAATTTTGGTCGAAAAATTGCAAATAATAATTATTATTTCATCAGGGTAAAATTATTAACACATATAAGCGAATATTTAATGAATTAAGTGAATAGAAGATATGTCTTTAAATGACATTTAAAATATACGACTAACTTCACGTATTATCAGCACATGGCATTTCTTCGTTCCGTTATGAATTTCCCGGTAGTTCTAATTTTTTATAGCAGAATAAAAATACGCGGGAAATAAAGGAATCTTGATCATCAAGTCAAATTATCCCTATTTTTGTGCCGTTTAAGGAGAATCACATGTACCGCTAAAGACATCTACGCGCAATAGAATTCTTGAAATGTAATTGAACCATGTTAGTCCCGAAATGACATCGTTTGTGTTGAGTGCAAGTTAAACCCCATTTCTCTCTCCCGATATTCTTTTTATGTTTTTCATAAATATGTTAAAATTGTACTATGGTTGCATGGCTCCCATACACGAATAACTAATTAGTATTATTATGCCCCCGGGTATACTTGTCCTATATTCTAGATAGTATTTGTCAATGTTTTCAGAATAACAGTATACGTAACTACTCACGTGTAAAGTTTTATAGTGTACTGATATATATAACATTTAACAGAAAAAGAGAAATAGCAGAATAAAAATACGCGGGAAATAAAGGAATCTTGATCATCAAGTCAAATTATCCCTATTTTTTGGCGTTCGCCATTCGCCGTTTAAGGAGAATCACATGTACCGCTAAAGACATCTACGCGCAATAGAATTCTTGAAATGTAATTGAACCATGTTAGTCCCGAAATGACATCGTTTGTGTTGAGTGCAAGTTAAACCCCATTTCTCTCTCCCGATATTCTTTTTATGTTTTTCATAAATATGTTAAAATTGTACTATGGTTGCATGGCTCCCATACACGAATAACTAATTAGTATTATTATGCCCCCGGGTATACTTGTCCTATATTCTAGATAGTGTTTGTCAATGTTTTCAGAATAACAGTATACGTAACTACTCACGTGTAAAGTTTTATAGTGTACTGATATATATAACATTTAACAGAAAAAGAGAAAGGGTTTGACATCCAGTTGTTGTTCGTTGTATGTTTCTGATGAAATGTAAATGTAGGCTATTTTTCTTTTTGATTTTCTAAAATAAATTTTATCTTGATATTCAACTGCAATTAAATTAATCAAAAATACAATTTACAAATCTGATATGACAAATGTCTGATTTGTAAAACAAATATTGATTCTATGAAATGAAATGAAATTGGGTTTAACGTCCTACTGTTCTGCTCCGAACTGGGCTAACGAAGACGGGCATACGCCATACAGTGCGCTATGAGGGAAATTTTGCTCGGACAGCTGCACTACTGCCTACTCTTATATCGAATTCCAACTGCTAAGGATCTTTTACGTGCACACAAATGTGTACATGGGACCTCGGTTTTCGTCCCTTCCGAACGACTACACAGCTGTCCTTGTCAGGCCCTCCGTCCTGCATCACTAACAAGGAGGAACCACGCCGTTAAACTCCATTTCATTTCAATTCATTTTTATCACTGTAGACATTCACCTCTATAGAGCTGTCTAGGTCACCCTAATAACACTGTAAACCAGACACCACGCGGGTAATTTGCAAGCAGTAATATATGGTGTTCTTTTTCGGCCACTTCCCGCGTCACCCTTCAATAAACCGACGCAAAATCCACGTTGCGCGTCACTCGTTTCAAGATTATGCTATAGAGAAAAAAAGGGACGTCGACTTTTTAACACGACGTCGCGCTTCAAAAGGCGGCGCATCCCACGTCGCGTCGCCCTTCGCTTTTTCTGTACGGATATTGTTTATAGTTTTGTTATGATACACCCCCTCCCCAAAGAAGAGTCGCCCCAGGCGTATGCCCCATTCAATACCCCCCCCCCCCCAATTGTGAGGGCCTGGCTACTACTACAAAAGTTCTGAGATAAAACATTATAATAGGATATAAATTTTTCAAATAGTAATTTATAAATATAACAAAACCGAAAAAACTTACAAAATTGTAGGTGCATTTTTAAGAATTATTGTACTTACATTTAAAAATGTATGCAAAATAACGCAGTTTCCCTAAGGGAAGTAAATCGATAAATAATTTTGAAAAGCGACGCACGACGCACAAGGCGACGCGTCTCTTTATAAAGGGCGACGCCGTGTTAAAAAGTCGACGTCGCTTTTTTTCTCCATAGCTTAATATCGAAATAGGGCGTTGCGCAACGCGGAAAGTGGCCGAAATAGAACACCATAGTATTTATTTACGTAAATAACGTTTCAATCATTTATCCTAGTTTGTGTCATTGTGGCTCCGGGTTCGTTATGTAAAAAAAGATTTACTCGTTGCATTGAAAACAGACATGAATCGCAACGATCTTACAAAATGGCAGCCCACTTCTCAATAGTCAATTGAACAGTGGAAACACATAAATTGACCGTGTATATTACGCTTTATAAGTGTAACAGCTGGACCATTTAATGTGAGTGCTGGGTCTGGCAAACGGAGACGATATTATTTAAAATGGCTGTTTTTAGAATCAGAGATGCTGTAATTGATGATTGTGAAGAAATATTCAGAATGTGCAAGGTACGTGTAGCATAATTAGTAAAACTGGAATTAATGTAGCCAAGTCTCTAACTAAATATCATCCAAAGACTTCGACATTAAATACATGACATATGAGTGATAGGTTATTTACATACTTACAAGATGGAGGCTTTTAATTTCTTAGTCAATGGACATAAATTTGTTAAGTATTATCTTTAAAAACATACATAATTTTATAATTATTGATTGTTTGCTTGAATTAAAAAGTTTATAATATTTAAAAGTATTAGGTCTTGTATAATAATATCTGGATATATATATTTTCGCTTTTTTTAATAAAATAAGTACAATTGAATAGGTAGTGATTATCAATAATGATAATATTAGAGATGACGTAATATGGCAAATAATAAAATCCGGTATGCTGACGCAAACCATATATCAATAATGATAATATTAGAGATGACGTAATATGGCAAATAATAAAATCCTAATTATAATAATATACTATTCAAAAAAAGTAGGGGATATTTGATTTTGGGGGCATAATACTAAAATATGCAAATGACTACGAAAAAAGTCACTATAGAACCTAACAGAAGAAACATTTCCAGTTACATGTGACGCCCAAACGCACCAATAGCTACCGCATGGAATGCAGGTGATGCTTGGGATCATCATGGGGGTCCAACCCAAGATTTGCACGACTCTGACTTTGAATGTTACAGTCATTGTGGCATTGAATTCCAGGGTGGAAACATCAGTTTAATTGTTTTAGTGACCAGAAAACAAATTTTGATATGCGTCGGCTTACCCAAAATGAAAGGTTACGTGCCCTTGGCATGCTACAGATCGGCACAACACAGGCGGTTGTGGCGCGGACGATGAATGTTTCTCAGTCTGTCATAAGCAGGCTATGGTCCAGATACCGTGATACACAATCTGTACAGGACAGACCACGCTCAGGTCGACCAAGGGCGACAACTCAAGCCCAGGATCGATTTATCCGTACCTTGGCCTTGAGAAATCGTGTCATCACAGCAAATCAGATCAGCGCTCGTCTTCAAACAGACACTGGTGTGAGAGTGAGTGGCCAGACGATTCGGAATCGACTGCATAGGGGTCACCTTCGCGCCCGACGTCCTCGCGTGATCCCTTGTTTGAGAGATCATCACATTCAGGCAAGACGTCGTTGGTGTAGGGATCGTCAACACTGGGATAATCGACGCTGGAGCAATGTGATGTTTTCAGATGAGTCAAGGTTCACTGTTGATTTTTTGGACAGACGTAGGAGGGTGTGGCGTCGTCGAAACGAGCGCTTCCAAGACGTTAACGTCATCAGACATGATCGATTTGGGGGTGGTTCTGTTATGGTGTGGGGAGGCATCACTGTTGCTGGAAGAACGGCTTTACATGTTGTTGCAGGGCGTGTTACAGGCCAGTACTACCGGGACAGCATCTTGGCAGTCCATGTTGTGCCGTTCGCACGACGTCATGGCCGCCGTTTCATCTTCCAGGATGACAACGCAAGATGTCACAGGGCCAGGATCGTTACAGGTTACCTCCAACAACAGAACATCACCACATTACCTTGGCCAGCACTGAGTCCCGACCTCTCCCCCATCGAGCATGTCTGGGACATGCTTGGACAGAGGTTACGTCAACGTCAACAACGTCCTGCCAATGTCCAAGAACTTGCTGCTGCGTTGCAACAGGAATGGGACAATCTGGACCAAAATGACCTTAGACGTCTCATTAGGAGTATGCCACGTCGGATCAATGCTTGTTTGGCAAACAGAGGAGGATTTACCCGTTACTGACTTGGTTGTGATGCTGTGGTAACTTTGCTGTTTGACCCCGGGTATCATTTTACCCTTATAATGGTCAGTCTGTGCCTTACTTAGTCTAACGATCATTTGGAATAAATCGATGAATGTGAACTTCATTTCATTTTGTCATTTGTTTCTTAGTCAGTTTCATTAGGTGACTTTAATAACACTTAAAAATCAAATATCCCCTACTTTTTTTGAATAGTATATTTAAAGGTAAACTTAATTCCAAAGGCTATAGAATAGAGAAGGGTTTGAACATGTGTTTCAAAATTGAATTTGAACATCTCTGATCATTTAGGTTTATATTCTGTACATGCCTACCGCATGCTTTAAATTGTCTATTGTAAAATTGATAACCCGCTAGATCTTCACATATTATGCTTCAATACCTTATAGAGGCTAGTTTCCAACCGTCTCAATATTTCCCCAGTATAATATTCTGGTGATTGCTAATTTTAAATATACTTTTATAAGATATAGAACATATATCCAAATACTCCCGGTTTAGGCCGAGAGGGATGAATGTAGATGTTGAACACCGAATTTGTCCTTTATGTAAATCAAATACAATTGACGATGAATACCATAACGATAACGTATTCAACTATACTTATTTCATTACAGAAAGCGAGCAATTCAGATCTTGATATTATTATATCAGACCTAATACTATTAAATATAATGAACTGTTCAATTCAACCAAGGAACCAATAATTGTTAAATAATGTATGTTCTTGCAGATAATAATAAACAAATTCTATGCCCCTTGACTAAATATGTAAATAACCCACTTCTGTTCTGCTAAAGACATGAACAAAATTCGAATTGCTATTTTTTGCTCTAAAACCATTTTCATTTTGAGATTTTTATAGGCGTGTATGTAAATGTTTGGTTATCATTGTAGTCTTAAGGCTATATTCACATTCGTTATCATTTGCTTTGTGATGATTCGTTCGCCCCTAGAGTTTTACTTTCACTTCCACCAGGGGTGATATTATTATGGCCTTATAAAGCCTTGTTGTTTTGTCTCACAGGACCAGGCACTTCTTCACGGCTGGGCCCATGAGATAATATCATCAGTAGACAGTAAGTATCATATATACACCATCATCAGTAGACAGTAAGTAACGTATATAACATCATTAGTACACAGTAAGTGACATGTTCAGTAGATAGTAACATATATTACATCATCAGTAGACAGTAAGTAAAGCATAACACCAGTAACACATATAACATCATCAGTAGGGAGTAACACCAGTAAACAGTAAGTAACATATTACATAACATAATCAGTTGACATTAAGTAATATATATATATAACATCATCAGTAGACAGTAAGTGACAACATCAGTAAATAGTAACATAACAACATCATCAGTAGACATTGAGTGGCGAATATAACATCACCAGTAAACAGAGTGACGTCACCAGTAGATGGTAACATAATATATAACATCATCAGTAAGTGACACCATCAGTTGATAATAGTAACATTGAACTATAAAACACGAAACGAAATAGGATCTGTGTTTTAATCAGATTGCAGGAAACCCTATTAATAAAGTCACCCTATCATAATTATTATTAATATTAAATTTTATTCTGTTTACAGCCCTCAGAAAAGATGGTTTTGGTGAAAAACCTTTATTTGGATGTCTTGTAGCTGAAAAAATTGATTCAGGTTGGTACGCAAAGCAGAATGATCTTACCCTTTTCTTTGTCCTTATCTAGGTCAATTATATTATTGTAAATAGTGGTGACATGATACACCCCCCTCCCCTGAAAACAATTGCAATTACCCCACTAAAAATAAAGAACCAGTGAGGGCAATGCCGATGATGTAGAGATATACGAACTAGTTGTTCAATTGGTTGTTCGTGGTGCTTGACATCCGCTTCCACCTAAGGTGATATCAAAGACAAATTGTCTTATTTTTTGTACTATCTTAGCGAACTCCAAGGGGTCTTACATGTGTTCGCGGAGTAAACCCACACGGTTCAGAAGGCGCCCCTATGTCCAAGTCACATATGCTCACATCAGGGATCGAAACCACGACCACGACCCACGACCATAGCTATAGGTGACCGGGTCAGCTAGAGATCGAAGCGCGACACTCTTTTTTTTTTTATTTTATAAATTTATTCCCAGAAAAAATAAACATTAAATATTACAATTATATCAGGTATTAAATATATTTCATAATTAGGCAAAACTATAATACTAACATATATATACGCCCAGGCAAAAAAATTATATTACAAAAATAAAAGCAGATATTTTTGGTTATTTAAAAGTGTACAAAAGTATAAAGTTAAAATGTGTTATGTACAGTTAAAAACATTGCCTGGATTTATACACTAATACTATATTAAAAATATTCAGATTTTGAGTTCGGTCACTAACAATGATAGAAAGTCTTTTAAATTTTAAATAAATATTTCGTAGTAATAAATCTTACTAAGTGGACTTAGTGTGAAAAGGTAAATTGGATTGAATTAGGATTTTATATAGAAAATGTTCAGTACAAGTTTGCAATGAGTTATTTCAATGTAGAAAATTCTGTGTAATGGCTGAGCAGTGTTTGTCAGGAAATAGGGCTTTATATTTAAAATATGATCTTTAAAGTATCAGATATTGCTATATTTGGTGGCTTTGATACACAATAATGAAAGTTTAAACAAAAAAGTTGTATATAATTAGAAATTTACAGAGGAAATGATTCAAACAGGTTTACAATAGGCATTTTACATGTTGTAGTTTAAAAAGTACTGGATGGTCTAGTCTATAGAGTTTCGTACAGTAGCATTATAACTGGAAAAATGGGACTATTAAGTGTAAATAACTAGGTCAAACACCGCGCAGGTGGCGATGTATCGTCTGCTACTGAATGAGGCTTATGAACTGAGCTAATCAAATGTAGATACGTCAGATTACATAATTTAACTTCATTAATTTCTATATATATACATGTACAAGATTTGGTGTACATATTAAATCGTTAAAAATTCTGTTCTTTTTAATAAAGGTATAGATACCGAAAAAGATGCTGTAATATTGTTATAAAAGGTGTGCTCACATTTACAATTTCATCAGTATTTATAAACAGTCTGACAAAGGATAGCAGTAGAATTAAAAAAGCAAAAAAAAGAATTATTCTTTTTATTTGCATTAATACCTTGGGCAATTATAGGCTGTGATTCTTATCTGTTACTTAAAGGGACATTTTTGTCCAAAAAAAATTAAATTATCAAATGAATAAGTCTTTGATGGTATAGGGTTTTGTCTGTATTTGATTCGAAAAAGAAAAAAGTCATTGGGGATTAGTGAATGGGTATGTGAAAAAGGTAATTATCAAGGTGTAAGCATTTCAGATTTTCAATATAAAATCCAATTCAAGCAAACACCTTACACTCTAGACCACTTAGCCATCCAAAGCCCCGATTGGGTTTCGGCGATACACAAAATTATGTCATATGATAGTCCAGACATGCGCATGGCTTTAAAATAGCGAACGTATTATTGAAATGCTCAGCTCGGAATAAGCTGTGGGTGGTGTGACCCAGTTGTTTATTGCTTATAAAAGTATGATAGGGTAAATTTGAAATTAACCAACCAATGGCGATTCTCCGCATTGGTTTTATTTTACTAATACACAAACGATCAAGGTATTCGCAGGTGGTCAAGATTCACATGGGCCGACATATTCGACAATAATAACAAGGATGCCAATCCCGGCTTTAAAGAAAACTTTTCATTATGACTCAATGACAGATCCTATGACCCCCTCCCCCCTCATTAGGACAGAATAGAAGGGGAGATTAATAACTCTATACTTTGACGAGTCTATGCAACACTTTACGACCCGGTTCGCTGGGATGCCAGTTACGCTAGGTCCACCATTTTACAGGCGAAATTCGAAGTCGACCGAAACGATGATTTTCTTTGTCAAATTCATTTCTTCACATTACACACACTCACAGCACTTGTAGATAAAACCGTTTACTAGTCTGCAAACGACACAGATATTTTATTGACAAATTACTGAATTATTTTATATTTTAAGTAGGCCCAACCGTGTAAAATACAGGATATTCTACTGAATAGAGAATACTATGTTTTCGTGTATTGTATTTCAGGCAAGGCAATAGCATACACTATGTTCAGTCCGTTCTATGTTTCATGGATGGGAAAATGCATGCTCATGAGTGACCTACATGTTACAGAAACTGAGCGGGGCAAAGGTGTCGGACGGGCTCTTGTAAATCGATTGGCACAGGTAAATTGTTTATTTACTTTGAGAATCCATCCAAAGCTCACAAGCATCTGGAAAATGAAATGTTGAAGTGATATTTCTTAAACATACCGGAATGAAACTTCAATAGAGAATTGAAGACATTTCAATTTAAAATGAATTGCTGTCCAAAGTTTTTTTTCACTCGATCAATCTAAATATTCGATGTGTCGATTTATGGTTCTATAGTTATGAGGGTCAGTCAGAGAAATTGTTGACGGTGTGGAATATGCTAGAGTCAATTCGTAGCTTGACATTGGTTGAGCAATTTGAGTATGACGAAATGATTTCACAATTCTAGTTATGTTAGAACAGATTTTGAAAAGTGTAATGAAACCCTGTGAGTTATATACATTTGAGAATGATGGCAGCAAATCAAGGGGGCGCAAGAACTCTAAACCATCGACATAAGCGCTTCATTGCACTCCCTCATTTAGTTCCTGGTGCTTAATAACATCACAACAGCAGCAACCGTGTTTTTTTCAAAAACAACAAGTGATTGAAAATAAAGATAGACTACAATGTTTATTTTATGACAGTTGGAATTCGAAATAAGAGTAGGCCGTAGTCCGCTTTCTGTGGAAAGTTTCCCTCATTGCGCACTGTATGGCGTATTTCCTTCTTCATTATCCCAGTTGGTGCAGAAAAGTAGGATATTAAACCATGTTCAATTTCCAAACGGAATATAAATGAAAGGTTGATATTCACTTATAATTCTCTTATGATGAAGGGATTTCCACAGGGTTGAAATACCCGTCTTCATTAACCCAGTTGGTGCAGAGAGAGAGAGAGAGAGAGAGAGAGAGAGAGAGAGAGAGAGAGAGAAATGGGGTTTAACGTCCACTCGACACAAACTATGTCATTCCGGACTAACATATGGTTTAATTTTATTTCAATAATTCGCTTGAGCGTAGGGGTCTTTAGCAGTGGGAGGAAACCGGAGGACTCGGAGAAAATCCACGAGGTTGGACAGGCGACCCTACCCCTTGTCACGTACAACCGGGGATTCGAAACCACGCCAGTCGACTCAATGACAGACTTTATTATATAGCGCGCTCACGCTAACCAGCCATCCACCCCCACCCCAGAAAAATAGGACAATAAACCCCGGTTCATTTCCAAACTGAATGTAAATGAAAGGTCGATATTCTGTGTAGGATTCCCAGAGGGTTGAGTTATCCTAGCGTCCAACCACTTACATGTGAGAGAATGTTAATTTTAGTTTTTATTTTCAATATTTGTCACAGGTTAGTCTACAAGAAGGATGTGTTAGACTGCAGTGGGATGCAATGGGATGGAATGATAAAGCAATTAAATTTTATAATAAAATAGGAGGTACAGATACAACAATAGCTGATGGGGGGAGACGAATATTTATAATGAATAAACCAGAAATGGAGAAGTGCACCTCGGATAATATAAAATTTAAAGATTAATTTTTATATAAATAAACATAGGAAAATAATACGTTTTAATTAATGGAGGAAGAATAATAACTTAAGCAGGAAATGTAAAACCGAAATACAGCTAAGTCTTTGAATAAATTACCAAGTCAGCTTAGAAATCTCCGTTAATTAAAAATATATTGAATAACATAAGGGGTATCCGTTACGTAAATTATAGTGAATAAATTAAATATCTCCATTAATTATGAATTTTGTTGGACTGTGAATTGTCATGTTTATCAAAACTGTTTATAAATATTTATACTATAAAAATGTATTTATTTATTTATTTACTCATTTTAATATATGCACTTACTATGTATTACTTATTGTATGTCTTGACAAGCTCAGGCGAAACATGTAGAGAGAGAGAGAGAAATGGGGTTTAACGTCCACTCGACACAAACTAGGTCATTTCGGGACTAACATATGGTTTAATTTTATTTACATAGTTCGCTTGCGCGTAGGGGTCTTTAGCAGTGGGAGGAAACCAGAGGACCCGGAGAAAACCCACGAGATTGGACAGGCGACCTACTCCTTGTCACGTACAACCGGGGATTCGAAACCACGCCAATCGACTCAATGACAGACTTTATGATACAGCGCGCGCACGCTAACCATTCAGCCATCCAACCCCCCCCCCCCCGAAACATGTAGACAATTAAACAATAGTATATACCTTCTTTAGGTATTTCTTACCTTTATTATTTTTTTCTATATATATTTATTATATATTTGTACTTATTATTTATTTATTATATTATATATGTATTAATTTGTATATTATTAAAATTCTGGAAATGGTATAATATAAGAATCCATATTATATGTATTTTTTTACATGTAATCTTTTTCATTAATAATATTTAAATCATTTTGTTGAAGTGTCACAAACTTGTTACAGACTATACTTTAAACCCCCTTTGTTGATTAATTAGTCATGGCCTGGTGGACCCAGACTCTAAACAATAGATGTGGGGAAAGTGAGCTGTCCCCAAATTAAGTAGCAATAAAGGCCAATTAAATTTGTGCGAAGAATTGATTTTGAAAAACATTTTAATAATGTGCATAATTATAATCCGGTATGCTGACGCAAACCATATATCAATAATGATAATATTAGAGATGACGTAATATGGCAAATAATAAAATCCTAATTATAATAATATTTAAAGGTAAACATAATTCCACAGGCTATAGAATAGAGAAGGGTTTGAACATGCGTTTCAAAATTGAATTTGAACATCTCTGATCATTTAGGTTTATATTCTGTACATGCCTACTGCATGCTTTAAATTGTCTATTGTAAAATTGATAACCCGCTAGATCTTCACATATTATGCTTCAATACCTTATAGAGGCTAGTTTCCAACCGTCTCAATATTTCCCCAGTATAATATTCTGGTAATTGCTAATTTTAAATATACTTTTATAAGATATAGAACATATAGCCAAATACTCCCGGTTTAGGCCGAGAGGGATGAATGTAGATGTTGAACACCGAATTTGTCCTTTATGTAAATCAAATACAATTGACGATGAATACCATAACGATAACGTATTCAACTATACTTATTTCATTACAGAAAGCCAGCAATTCAGATCCTGATATTATTATATCAGACCTAATACTATTAAATATAATGACCATTTCAATTCAACCAAGGAACCAATAATTGTCAAATAATGTATGTGAGAGAGAGAGAGAAATGGGGTTTAACGTCCACTCGACACAAACTAAGTCATTTCGGGACTAACATATGGTTTAATTTTATTTACATAACTCGCTTGCGCGTAGTGGTCTTTAGCAGTGGGAGGAAACCGGAGGACCCGGAGAAAACCCACGAGGTTGGAAAATAATGTATGTCCTTGTAGATAATAATAAATGAAATGGGGTTTAACGTCCTACTGTTTTGCTCCGAACTGGGCTAATGAAGACGGGCATACGCCATACAGTGTGTTATGATGGAAATTTTGCCCGGACAGCGGCACCACGGCCTACTCTTATATCGAATTCCAACTGTCAAGGGATCTTTTACGTGCACGCCAATGTGTACTCGGGACCTCGGTTTTTCGTATCATCCGAATGACTAGACAGCTGTCCTTGTCAGGCCCTCCGTCCTGCATCACTGACAAGCGGAAACCACGCCGGAAAATCTGGATGAACTTTCTCGGCCAATGCAGGGATCTAACACCCGACCTCCAGGCTAGCGAGCCAGCGCCTTACCCACTTAGCCACCGTGATCCCCAGATAATAATAAAGATTTTATGCCCCTTGACTAAATATGTAAATAAACCACCACCTCTATATCATGTATATGAGCTGAGTTGTAAATAAACTTCTGTTCTGCTAAAGACATGAACAAGATTCCAATTGCTATTTTTTTTCATTTTGAGATTTTTATAGGCGTGTATGTAAATGTTTGGTTATCATTGTAGTCTTAAGGCTATATTCACATTCGTTATCATTTGCTTTGTGATGTTTCGTGCGTCCCTAGAGTTTTACTTTCACTTCCACTAGGGGTGATATTATTATGACCTTATAAAGCCTTGTTGTTTTGTCTCACAGGACCAGGCACTTCTTCACAAATCGGATATGACAAATGTCTGATTTGTAAAACAAATATTGATTCTATGAAATGAAATGATATTGGGTTTAACGTCCTACTGTTCTGCTCCGAACTGGGCTAATGAAGACAGGCATACGCCATACAGTGCGCTATAAGCGAAATTTTCCCCGGACAGCGGCACTACTGCCTACTCTTATATCGAATTCCAACTGCCAAGGATCTTTTACGTGCACGCCAATGTGTAAACGGGACCTCGGTTTTTCGTTCCATCCAAACGACTAGACAGCTGTCCTTGTCAGGCCACCCGTCCCGCATCACTGACAAGGAGGAACGACGCCTTTAAACTCCATTAAATTTTCATTCTTATCACTGTAGACTTTCACCTCTATTTTTAAGATCATGAGTGGCGTGCAGAACTAGGTCGAGGTCACCCTAATAACACTGTAAACCAGACACCACGCGGGTAATTTGCAAGCTGTAATATATGGTGTCCTTTTTCGGCCACTTCCCGCGTCACCCTTCAATACCGCAACGCGCGACGCAAAATCCGCGTTGCGTGTCACTAGTTTCAAGATTATGCTATAGAGAAAAAAAGGGGCGTCGACTTTTTTACACGACGTCGCGCTTCAAAAGGCGACACATCCCACGTCGCGTCGCCCTTCGCTTTTTCTATACGGATATTGTTTATAGTTTTGTTATGAAATGCGCATGTACCAGGAGAATTCATTTGCAGTTTATTGGCCTTTGGTATTTTATTTTCAATACAGTAATTTATATTGGACAGAAGGAACTGCCATTAATATCCTTTATATAACATTACATTTCTATAATACCCAGATTATATGTTCTAAACTTAAAATCGTAAACTCTGATGTGAATGAGCGACCTCGTGGTCTCGGCAATTACAGGTACTGATAACGTTGTGGTTATTGTTTCCGTTATTTACATTAGTTGTTTTGTAGGTTCTCAGGTGTTGTATTATATCCCCTTCAACCCTCCGATTGGTCGAAAAACCCTATAATTATACCCCCTCTATTTACTGAAATATGTCCCGGTCTACATATGTTTAGGAGATTTGTTATCTCAACCTCCAAGGTAAGCACTTAGATACACCCCCTCCCCAAAGAAGAGTCGCCCCAGGCGTATGCCCCATTCAATACCCCCCCCCCCCAATTGTGAGGGCCTGGCTACTACAAAAGTTCTGAGATAAAACATTATAATAGGATATAAATTTTTCAAATAGTAATTTATAAATATAACAAAACCGAAAAAACTTACAAAATTGTAGGTGCATTTTTAAGAATTATTGTACTTACATTAAAAATGTATGCAAAATAACGCAGTTTCCCTAAGGGAAGTAAATCGATAAATAATTTTGAAAAGCGACGCACGACGCACAAGGCGACGCGTCTCTTTATAAAGGGCGACGCCGTGTTAAAAAGTCGACGTCGCTTTTTTTCTCCATAGCTTAATATCGAAAAAAGGGCGTTGCGCGACGCGGAAAGTGGCCGAAATAGAACACCATATAGTATTTATTAACCCAAATAACGCTTCAATCATTTATCCGTGTTGTGTCATTGGTATTCGTGAAATAGCTATCGACTGTTAATGCCGGCTGTGAGTCGAGTCTGGGAGACGGAGACGATATTATTTAAAAATGGCTGTTTTTAGAATCAGAGATGCTGTAATTGATGATTGTGAAGAAATATTCAGAGTGTGCAAGGTACGTGTAGCATAATTAGTAAAACTGGAATTAATGTACTAAATATCATCCAAAGGCTTCGACATTAAAGCGGGGTTGGATTGCCGAATGGTTTAGCACGTGCCCGTTTTATCATAAGTTATAAACCTATAACGGTAAATCTCTTTGATCTTTGTGGTATATTCTAACCCCCTAATAACTTGCAGTCTGAATATATAGTGAGGAATTTGGGGTTATTCTTCTGAAAGTGTTTCTTTAAATCTGTATCGGGTTATTCTTCCATGGTAGGGTGGGGTTTTTTTTTGGCATAAGAAAACATGATATCGGGTTTTTCTTGCTGGAATTCTGGGATATTCTCATTTTACGTACATGTAAACATAGACGGTTTATAAGCAAAATAAACTACCGGCCTCGGGTTTTCTTTTTGTCAGGTTATTTTCTTCAGTCTTTCGTTCCCCGACATAACCTCGGTCTCATGCTTTATCCTACACGTCTGTCATTGAGTCAACTGGCGTGGTTTCGATTCACATGTGGTACGTGACAAGGAGTAGGGTCGCCTGTCCAACCTCGTGGGTTTTCTCCCACTCCTAAAGACCCCTACGCGCAAGCCAATTATTGAAATAAAATTGAATGTTAGTCCCGAAATGACCTAGTTTGTGTCGAGTGGACGTTAAACCACATCTATACAGAACAATTTATAACAACAGAACTGAAACCGCACAAATAACAACAAGAAGATCAAAAGACGTGAACTCAAGGGGATGACAGTCTACTAAGGAACTAATCAACTATTCCAAGACATTACGAGAAGGGTTAGAGTCTGTACACAGTATTCCAAGACATTACGAGAATGTTTAGCGTCTGTACACCTGTACACAGTATTCCAAGACATTACCTTAAGGTTTAGAGTCTGTACACAGTATATATATATATAAGTATCTGGTGTGCGCACCGCGAGTGTCAATAACAGCATCGCAGCGTCTGTACATGGAGTGGACCAGACGATTGATGAACCCCATTGGCACCTGGAACCAAACTTTCAGAAAAGCCTGCCTTTAAGTTTGCTTGATTTCTGTTTTGATATAAAACAACTCTTTCAACAACTGTAAATATTCGACAAATGGTCTTACCATTAAGTGTTTCTGAAGGTGTGGGGTTGGATGGCCGAATGGTTAGCACGTGCTGTATCATAAGGCTTGTCATTGAGTTAACTGGCGTGGTTTCGAATCCCCGGCTGGTCACCTGCCCAACCTCGTGGGTTTTCTCCGGGTCCTCCGGTTTCCTCCCACTGCTAAAGACCCCTACGCGCAAGCGTAATATTGAAATAAAATTAAACCATATGTTAGTCCCGAAATGACCTAGTCTCTCTCTCTCTCGTTTCTAAAGGTATTTTCAAGTTAAATTTATTTTGATGTTATCTTGTGAAACCTTGTTTTTTACCTTAGGAACAGGCAGTTTTTCACGACCTTGAAGACCACATAACATCCACAATAGATAGTAAGTGACGTAGAAATAAAATGATTATTATGTAGTATTATGTACTTGTACTTTATTATTATCTACCGTAATAGCAGTGCCAACTAGCTGTTTATAGAATTTTGCATCGAAATAGAAGCAGTTATTTTTAAGTACGAACTTCAAACTACATAATATAAAATCTTTTGTGAAACGTTCATGGAGATCTTGTGGGTATCTATCTACCCAGAATTCGATAGCTGTTAATCCTAAATCAAAAGTAATATTTGAGTAGAGGTATGTGACATCGTAAGTAACTAGCGTAGCATTTTCTGCGACCGATGGCGGAAGCTGGTTCAGAAAATCAACACTATCTATAATATTACTTTTTACCCTAAGTATATATGGACGTAACGGTATATCTAAAAGTTGACTTAGACGATGGGTTTCGCAGGAAGGCCCGGCAATAATGGGGCGTAATTTCAGGCCTTTTGGCCTTTCTATCGTAATGTAATCACTTTTCTGTTTTTTCGCATGCTTCAGTTATCTCTTTGCTCTTGTGGACTTTGGGTAGTCCATAAAAACTGATTGGTTTCACATCAAATATGGTAAGAAATGATTTTTCATCATCTTCATGAAGGATTCTTAAAAATGAATTGACAAGTTTTCGGAGTCTTTTCATATTGTCCTCCATTGTGCTTCTTCGATATTATCGATAATACCATTTCTGTATAGTGATCTGCATCCATAAGAACTGTTGCTCCTCCTTTGTCCGCCTGTTTTATAACTATGGATTTATCCTTTGATAGCTGGATTATTTCGTTTTTTGTTGAGGAGTTATATTTCTTCGAACGTTATTTGTTCTATTTGGAGTTATTTCAACTTTGTTTATGAATGATATGTAATCATCGAGTTCTGGGATTCGCCCGAGAGGAGCACATCCGCCAGTCTTGTTCCTTACTATGGATTAAGGCGGTAAATTATCGTTATCATAAAAATATTCTAAATTTCTTAATTTTCTAGTACATTCTTTGACATCCTCGTTGACTTCTTGTGTGTTGCTTTTGGATGGGGTGGGAGTAAATTTTATTCCCTTCTTCAACACACTAAGCTGATTTTCACTTAATGTCTTCTCTGTGATATTGACCACTTTTGGGTCTGTCCCTCTCGTCTCTTTTTTAAGGAGGGGGGTTCCGCTAAAAAATTCCTGTTTAGTGTGGACTTGTTATGGCTATTATTTTCCACGTTGGAATATCGTTTACCTCTATTCGTGTTCTTGTTCACCATGTTCGAGTCCTGATTTGTATTTCCATTCCGTTTTCTTGGTTTAACAGTTTGCCAGTTACGGTCACGCGATTGACTTCCCATTCGTACCTTTGAACTTAGAACAGTGAGACCAAAAATAAAAAAGAAAAGTGCATACCATACATCTCCACGTACAATCCTCGAAACCCGAATTTGACCAATGTACTCCGAGATAACTTTGCTCTACTGAGACGTAGTGAACGAATGAACAAAATACTATTTAAAATAAATAGTAGTATGACATGCTCTGTCACATATGTAGTATATGTAATTACATGCCTTGGGTGTAATGAATTATACATTGGATCCACAAATGAATTACGGAAGCGTGTGACAGTACATAAACAGCATATAAAAGAGGAAATATACCGCAAAATCCCATTAAGTGGGCATATGACGGAGTGTGCTAAAAATAAATCGCCACATTTTCATATTTTCCCCTTTTATAAACTGTCTGATAATAATATCACAAAATTAAGAGTTAAAGAAGAGTATTTTATAAACAAATTTAAACCCAAACTTAACCAGTGATATTATTTCGTTTAAATTTTTATGAAAAATTATTGTAACTATCTCTCCATATTGACGCTACATAATGACGTAACGCCATTATCTATTATTGCCTTGAAAACCTAACGGCGAAACATGTAGGCATTTAAATAAAATTTCTTTAATGGTATTTTCTACTTAATCTTTTAGAATATATATATATACGAAAAGTTAAAGATAACTACTCTTAGGTATTAAATACACAAAAATATAAAAGTTTTTGGAAAAAAGAACTACATTCGATTGCTAGTACTTTGGCTAGCACTTATATTAAGCTCTTCAGATATTCAACATTTTGGTAATACAACAATGTCATAGCAACACAGTAGTACAAAGAGGGAACATAACTTAAATATCAAATCAGACAACAATAACTAGGCCTATGTGCAATGAAATGAAATGAAATGGGGTTTAACGTCCTACTTTTCTGCTCCCAAACTAGGCTAATGAAGACGGGCATACGCCATACAGTGTGCTATTAGGGAAATTCCAACTGACAAGGGATCTTTTACGTGCACGCCAACGTATACACGGGACCTCGGTTTTTCGGTCCATTCGAACGACTAGACGCTGTCCTTGTCAGGCCCTCCGTCCTGCATCACTGACAAGGGGGAATCACGCTGGAAAATCTTGATGAACTTTCTCGGTCAATGCAGGGATCGAACACCCGACTTCCAGGCTAGCGAGCCAGCGTCTTACCCGCTTAGCCACGTGATCCCCGTATATGCAATGAAATTACTACAATTTTGCATTTAAAGCTGGCCGATATTTGTCAATAAAATATGCCTCTTTGGCTTCTAATAAATCATTATTATTGCTATTAAGCTTGTACATCGGAAAAAACGCTAAATTTGCAACCAACACAAACAAATATCTATATGTCCACGGGATCATCCTATAATGTATGTCAAAGGGGAATTAATTATTTATAAAGTGAATGTTCATCTTCGACCATTAAGCTTCGGAGAGAATAATTCTATTAGTCTTTTCTCTTTGGCTTCCAGCAACTGTTCATTGATGAAATTCAATTTATATATTGGTGCAACTTTGAATTCGCTCTTTCCACAGGTTTCGAGATGACTACCAAGCGGAATTGTTCTTTTTTCCGGATGTAGTATTTGGGACCTGTGTAAGTTCATTCGAACATTCGGGGATCACGTGGCTAAGTGGGTAAGACGCTAGCTCGCTAGTCTGGAGGTCGGATGTTCGATCCCTGCATTGGCCGAGAAAGTTCATCCAGATTTTCCGGCGTGGTTCTCCCTTGTCAGTGATGCAGGGCGGAGGGGCTGACAAGGAAAGCTGTCTAGTCGTTCGGATGGGACGAAAAACCGAGGTCCCGTGTACACATTGGCGTGCACGTAAAAGATCCCTTGGCAGTTGGAATTCGATATAAGAGTAGGCCGTAGTGCCGCTGTCCGGGCAAAATTTCCCTCATAGCACACTGTATGGCGTATGCCCGTCTTCATTAGCCCAGGTTAGGAGCAGAAAAGTAGGACGTTAAACTCCATTTCATTTCATTTCATTCGAACATTCAGCTGTTGGTCGCTTTTGCCAATATAATATTCCTTACATCCCGAGCAAGCTAACAAGTAAACCACATGTTTGGTTTTACAGTTCATGTTTTGTTATACTTCGAATACTCGGTTATTTGACATGGGGAATGTGGAGCCTTTACATATTCCACACCGCTTATCGCCGCATTTTGGAACGCATGGTCTTTCCGTATTTTTATCCATATCAAAACGGGACGATGTCAACAGTTTCCTTATATTTACTGACTGTGTTAAACTGCTTATGAAGTTGGTGTTAGAAACAATCTTCTTCATTTTGGGGCATTTATCCAGCATCTGTTTATTCATGTCGATGAGGTTCATCGGTCTATTGTGGTGTGAGTTAAATGTTGGGACTAATGTCATGATGTTATTGTTATCCTTCTTCTGTTTTGGGACTCGTAGAGTATCTTGGTCTAGTGTTAAAGCTGTCTTTATGGCATTGTCGATCAGCTTTATTGGATAATCTTGTTTTACGAAAAATTGGTTTAGCTCACCAAGTCTTTGATTCTGCCACGTTTCATTCGACACAATTGTACAGATCCGTCTTGCTAGATTAAACGGGATATTTCGTTTTGTGTGTGCGGGATGACTCGATTTGAAGTTAAGATATTGGTGAGTATCTGTTTTGTTATAAAATAAGTCTGTTTCAATAACACCATTTTTCGATAAATGTACTTCAACATCTAAGAAGCTCAATTTGGATTTGCTGCTTTTCATTGTGAACTTGAGCGATGAATCCAAAGAGTTTAATATTTCGTGGATTGTTTGTAGGTCCTCTTTATCCGAAAGGATGTCAATGCAGTCATCTAGAAATCGCCTCCCAGATTCTTCTAAATGTTGTCGATTATCGAACCCCAGTCTTCTCTCCACATCGTTATAAAATAGAACTTCTAAATAGCCAAGGGATAACGTTGTATAGGTTGGTGCTACGTTTGTTCCCATATAAAGCTACTTCCTTGATTTGGCTGTAGTATTTTGCATCAAAATAGAAAATGTTGTTTGTAATTACTAGGTCCAATGCCCCAAGAATAAACTTTGTTGTAAAGCGGTCTGAGATTTCATCTCTGTGCTTATTGACCCAGTACTCTATTTCCGTATTTCCTAGTTTAGAATCGATGTTGCTGTAGGGATTGACAACGTCAAAACTTACTAATGTGCTTCCCGGTATCGTTGTTTTTGGTAATTTTGATAGGAAATTTGTACCATCCCACAGACAGCTTTTGACATATTTACATAAAGGTTTAAGGATGATATCGACAAGATTACTTAGTCTTTGCGTGACGCTTTCTGGCCCTCCAAAAATTGGTCGAAAACTTAGATCATCTGGGTTTTTTAACGATTATTACCTCGGAATTCTGATTCTCTACTTGTTCTGAATTTCATTACTTTTATGAATTTTAAGTAATTCATAAAAGTAGGTCGGTTTCGATTCATAATTCACTAGATAGTCCTGCTCATCATCCGTTAAATATTTATAATCTTGTATATTTTTTTTTCAAATTTAAAATGGGTCTGTCTGTCCGTCCGTCCGTCCGTCACACTTTTTGAGACACAATAACTCTCCTTTTAATTGACCTAGAATGTTCAAACTTGGTGTTTATTAGGTCAATGCCTTGATGCAGTTCGAAAATGAGCATTTTCTGCTTAGGCTAAGCAGAGATAAGCAATTTGATCGGTTGATGCTTTGGGACACGATAACTTTAGTTCTTATTAAATTAGAGTGATGAAAATTGGCATTTTCCAGTAAAAACTGGCGGCCATTTTGGATTTTTGCCAATTTGACCCATTTGGGCTCGGATTTCGGACTGGGACCTTTTTAAATGACAATATAGGTATAGACCGGCAATAAACCGTGGTCGGCATTTCTATTGCTGCAACTGTCCGGAATGGTGCGAAATAGAGTTAAAATGCCTGGACTAAATTGTGAATTTGATATTTAGATCTAAATCAATCATTATTTGTTACAAATCTGCAACGTTGCCAATTCTTTCATTCCAAATACAGAATATATCGTCCAGGCATCGTTTCAACTGATTTTCTGAATATTATTTGTAATCCATGACATGTTCAATTTCTATTGGTTATAATTTTTCCTCAAGAAATCCCATTGTTAAATTACTTAATTGTGGTGCCGCCTTGGTAGCCATCGCTATACCAAGAATCTGTTTGTAATTTGTTTCGCCAAATGTAAAAGTGTTGTTAGTCGGGATGATTCGTATAGGTTTGAGGATGAAGTTGTTTGAAATTCTCTCATGACTGCATTCAGGATGTTTATCCAACCAATATTCTATGGCCTGAAAGCATAGGTCATGGAAATGTTGCCATATATATGACAAACATCCATGGTTACGAAAACGTCGCCATCGTTTAGATATTGGGGCAATCTATTAAAAAAATCTTAAGTCATCCCGAATAACAGATTTTACATTTGGCACGTACGGCTTAAGTAAGATATCAATAAGTAAGACCGGCTATTATTGGTGTGAATGGGAGATCGTCTGGCTGGAAAACACTGATGAATCCGGCATTTTGATGTTAAATAGCCCCTTTGATCGTCTTGGATTTTTGAAAGACCATAAAACTGACTTGTTTTATACTCGAATTTTCGGAGATAATCCTGTTCGTTGTCCGTTTTTGTGATCTTGATTTAAGCCATTTATTAATCCCATTGTTCTTTTATCATGGTTCAAATGTATGGTTGTATACACCCGTTTGTCTTCAAGTATTTTAAGGACGTTTCTCTCATAATATTCCACATCCATGATAATAATGGCACCACCCTTTATCGCTTTCTTTAATAACGATCGTATCGTTAGATTTTAAAGAATTTATAGCGCACTTCCTCTTCGACACATTTGATTTTGCGTTGCGGTTTATAGGGAGTGGCATCTTAGTTAAATAGTCGATGAAATTGTTCAGCGTCACGTCCTTACACCGCCAAGGGGTTAAATAAAATAAAACCAAGTACGAACAATCCAAACCATTAGACAAAATTCGAAGTCCTAAAAAACGGTATAGGCAAAATAGTGTAATAAGGCAAAATAGTGTAATCAGCATATGGACTGTTCACCGTGTACAAAATACACGACAAACAGTGGTAACAGGTGTCCGGAAGAGTAAGCTTACCCTGCCTGGAGTTACTTTTGTTCCTCACAATATCCTCCGTCTTCCCTATCGCCGAAAAATTCCTTTAGTCGTAGTTTCCTACAGAAGGCGTTGATATCACACTCTAATTTCCGTATATTAGTTTTAGGCGTAGATGTGAATTTTAGTCCTTTCTGTAGGAGGTTAGTCCCGAAATGACCTAGTTTGTGTCGAGTGGACGTTAAACCCCATTTCTTTCTCTCTCTGTAGGAGGTTTATCTCGCAATGATTTAGAACTACGGATGATACATTTATGATTTTTGGGTGTTCTGCTTCTGAGAATTTGATACTGTGTGGACGTTCCTTGAATGACGCTAACTTTCATCTTGTATTGGTGAAGTGGTGGCTGGAGCTGGCATGGTGGTCGGTGTGGTTGAGATTGGCCTCTGAAAAAAAAACTGCCCCTTGGCTGGAGAGGTTTGTTCGGTCCTCCGTTGCGTGTTATACTTACCTGTACCTAAAACGATCAGTTAGGTTATTTAAAAGAATGCGCGGTATGTAAAGCTAAAGTATTGTTAAAATTATATTCTATTTTACAGCCTTCAGAAAAGATGCTTTTGGTGAAAATCCTTTATTTAGATGCCATGTAGCTGAAAAAATTGATTCAGGTTGGTAGCAAAGCAGGAGGCTGTTCCCCTACCTTTGTTCTTGATCGTATCCTGCTAACCTTTGTCCGTGTTATTGGGGGAACACGTGATAATACCTGGTTGTAATGTAATATTTTGGTAGGTCACGGCGATAACGTGCATTGATTGGCCAAACATTGTGAAGTGGTTTTAAATATACACATAGGCATATTGATTGGTCAAACATTGTGAAGCGGTTTTGAATATAGACACAAGGTCCAACTCTGACCTCTTGTAATCCAAGTTAGATAATCCAAGTTGCTATATAGCGGATCGGAACATAACTTGTCAACCCATACACGTAACCAAAGACGACACTAAGGAGCTGGTGGAAAAATGCCCTGTTTTGCAAAATTCTAAACGCCGCATGCCAGTCTCAAAATGGTCCAGGTAAATTGTTGACAAATCTCTGAGCTTGTTTAATTTGGGTTCAAATATGTAAAAACAGGATTATCTACAAATCGTAGATTTATTTTTAAAGAAAATGGCCATTTTTTGAGGCACCAAAAATCATTTATATTTTCGTGTATTTCAGGTGAGATAGTCGGATACTCGCTGTTCTTTCCCTTTTATATTTCATTTATGGGAAAGACTATGTTCATGCAAGAGCTTTTTGTTACAGAGAGTGCAAGAGGTATAGGCATTGGTCAGGCTCTCGTGAAACGATTGGCACAGGTAAATATTTTCAGTATTTGCTAAGATGACCCTTCACCACCATCTGAAAAATGATATGGATCGGATTTATGAATCAAAGAAGATTCTAGATCTTTTCCGGAAAACTTACCATGCCAGAAAGTACGTTTACAAAAAACATTTTCTGCAAAATATATTCGTATAGATCAATTGTAACCTACCATTTAATGTTTACAAATCGTAGCTATCTTTATACAAAATGTAGTCCATAATTTAAATACATAATACGGCCACTCTACTTTTGGGAGTTTCTTGCAAAATACATGCACGAGGTTGCGTCATCGGACGTTGAATTTACAAGATAGAAGGATGAACGTGGCGTGGCGGAAGCTTAAAATAGAGGGAGACATTCGCCTTGTAAATTTGACGCTAAATGACGGGCTGATAGTCGCTGACAAATTAGTGATGCGTAGGAATTCCGACATAAGTCAGGGTCCGTGTGGTGGCACATGTTTCCTGTCCCTGTTTTTGTAATCTTTTATATTTTAACAGGTTTGTGTAGAAGAAGATTATGTTAGACTTCAGTGGGAGTCAATGAATTGGAATGACAGAGCAATTGCTTTCTATATAAATAAACTGAACGGTCAAGACACGGCCTTGCTTGATGGAGGAAGAAAAATATTTATATTAACCAAGGAGGCCATGAAGAAACTCTAGTTATTAGCATATGTGGCATTATCAAACAAATGGCCATGTCATTGATTACATGAATTATGTAAATTCGTTTAACAAATATATTATTAAAATTTTCGATAAAAAATAGTATTTAATCTAGCGATAATATTACACATTATAAATCTAACAAACCGAGGTCCCGTGTATACATTGGGATGCACGTAAAAGATCCCTTGGCAGTTGGAAATCGATATAAGACTAGTCGATAGTGCCGCTCCCCGGGCAAAATTTCCCTCATAGCACACTGTATGGCTTATGCCCGTCTTCATTAGCCCAGCATAGGAGCAGAACAGTAGGACGTTAAGCCCCATTTCATTTCATTTCATTTCTTACATACATTTCGTTGGTAAATAAAATCGAACTTGGAGATTTGATATCATCTTTATCAGATAGGATTAATTAAAATGTTAACACACTTCAGCATATGTTACAGAAACTCCCTGTTCTATTGTCTAATTAATACCGATGTAGCACAAATGAGAAATTTCCTTAAATATGATTTGCCGAAAAGTGTCGTCGAAAGACAATACAGTAAAGGGGAATAACTACGTATATATATTAGAGTGTAATCAATCATGCCATGCCGCAAAATTTTTGTTTCGAGAAATGTGTGCCATTTTTGAGCAAAATAACCATTTCATATAGCTCTTGGACTTGATCTCTAGCTTGATTTGGACGGCTTTAACGTCCCACTGCCCTGCTCCGATCGGACTAATGAAGACGGGCATACGCCATACATTGTGCTATCAGGGAATTTTTTCTGGACAGCGGAGCTATGGCCTACTCTTATATTGAATTCCATCTTTCGAGGGACCTTTTACGTGCCCGCCAATGTGTACAAGCGACCTCGGTTTTCCGGCCCATCCAAATGACTAGACAACCATTCTTCCTACACCATTGTCATGGGGAAACGATGTCGGAAAATCCCGATGAACTTTGTCGGCCAACACTGGGAAAGCGAACCCGCGGTCTCCATGCTAGCGAGCTAGCGTCTTACCGTGGCTCCCATAACTGAAAAAATATATTCAATAGTTTTGCACGGAAAAGAAATACTCACCGTTACTTTTCTTTCCTGATTAGGTGTGGTTGTACAAAACAACCGCGTACTTCATTTAGTTAGAAATCCACGAGATCCACGAGATCAGTGTGGTAATGACTACTGTATGTTTGTTTCCTTTGTATACACATGTACGTCCTATACCAAGACTTTGATTACAACATTTTCCCTCCCAAACACCATTAAATTTTCCCTAATAGAATGCGGATGAATCCCCCTTTACCGCAGTAACATGTCACATGATCAACATATCATGTGATTGTGTGACGAAAAATGCCTGTCAGATGGGTACAATAAGGGAGGTACAAATAAAGAGATATGACCACGGTTAAAATAGGAGTTGGGGATATGACGATAATGCCGTGGCACTGCAAGAGAAGTGGTTCAGATTGCCCCAAATCGTGATTGAACGGTTGATTAGGAGCATGCTACGACGAATTGCTAAATGTCTGATGATTGGTGGAGCAATTACTCATTATTAAGACAAAATTCAAAAATGTCCATTTTCATTTTTGACGGTGTATCTCTTTGCGAGTGAAATGGGGCCGTCAAATAAGCCGCCCATATCATCTGTTTATGTTCATGTGTAGGCAATTGGCCTGTTATTAACATACACTGGTTACCTCTAATAAAAACAGCAGTGCATTTCCGCAGTTTTGTATTGTTTCTTAATATCCCCTATTTATTTTTGAAGAGTATACTACGTTCTGGAGACAGTAACCTGTGCACTGCCATATACGTAAGTAGAGTAAGGTGAATAATACGCCTGATGACATAATTCAATTTATAACCCAATAATACATTCTACAGTAGATATTGCTTGTGTGATATATTTCATAATCTACTGCCAGATATCGCTTTACATGTATTTGATTGGTCAGTTGAAAAGGAACTACTTTTTTTATTTTCAAAGAACAGTTCATTTCTATTAAAAGTAACCTTTTTTTAAATTAAAAATGAACTATTGTTATTTAATTGACCTTGATGGAAACACTGGGTCAATATAAAGGATTTGCAATGGTTGAATTGCTGTCAAAAATGATGTATCACTAAGCCGTAATGTAATCAGGTTCAGTAAAAGTGAACTCAACAGCAAAGAATTATATTCATTTATTTGTGCATGTAAGAAAGGATTGTATGATAAATAAAATCTCCTATTCGCCTTTTTTGATATCAGAAAAGACTCGTAGGAGATTCTCTATATATACAGCAAAAAACAACAAACACCCAAAATAGGTCAGTACGATTTCTTAATCAGAGAGGCACTTTAATCAAATCATTCTAGAAAACGATTTACTAAATGGATCAAACCAATTTTTTGGTGAACAGTATGTTGACACATTAGTGATTAATTCAGCACAATTCCAAAACATTACGAGAAGGTTTAGAGTCTGTACATAGTCTATACATCAGTATCTGGTGTGTCCACGGCGAGTGTCAATAACAACAGCGCAGCGTCTGTACATGGGAGTGGACCAGACGATTGATGAACGCCATTGGCACCTGGAACCACACTCTCAGAAACGACTGGCTCAATCCATCGGCTGTGTTTGGTCTCGGTACGACGTTGTTAAGTCTCCCAAAGATGTTCAATCGGGTTTAAGTCCGATCTACGGGCTGGCCAGTGCATAACGTTGACACCGTTGTGCTGTAGAAAGTCCCGAGTAACTCTGGCAGTGTGGGCACGTGCGTTGTCATGCTGGAAAACGTTGTTTCGATGACGTGCGAAATGTGGTATGAGGTGGTGTCTGAGAGCTTGATCGATGTAGCGCACTGCTGTGATACCGCCTCCTCTCCACAGGGCCCACTCTGGTTCAGGCCCATTCCACCCAAAACCATTATGCTTGGACCTCCACGCGTGTCTCGTTCCATGACACATTGGTCAGAATAACGCTGGCCAAGTCGACGCCATTATCTGGTCCTGCCTTCTGCAGTTGATACGCAATACCAACACTCATCTGTGAACAGAACATTGCTTGTGTCGCCAGTTCTGGTGTTGTTGGGAAACTATAGACGTTCACATGGATGGCAAGGGATGAGGATCGGTCTACGGTAAGGGTTACGGAAATGGATGTTCTCTCTGGTGAGACATCGGCGCATTCTATCGGTACTGATGGGTCTTCCGTGTGTTCCCACTGTCAGATGCCTGTGTGAAGGGATTCTGCACGTGTTGTCGTACAATATGGCGGTCTTGTCGCCTTGTGGTAACCCTTCTACCATTTCGGGGGCGATCATCCGTGGCGTTGCTAAAGTCTGTAGATGGTCTGAACATTGACCTGGAAGTGATTGGCAACGGCTTTGGCAATGTGGCCAGCGTCGAGTCTTCCAAACGCATGGTTCCTCCGAGCTGTCGTGAGTCGTGGCATGCCGCTGACGTTGTAGTGTGAATGATTCAACTACGTATGGGGGTGCATTTTATAGGACTGGTCCCGGTGAACAGCACGTGCAGGATGGTTACATGAAAATCACGGAGAACACATTACTATCTCAGAAGTCAGGTTGCGTTTTTGAGAACATTTCCTGGGATCAATTCTGTGTTTGGAACGGAGATATATTGCTCAGGTAAAGGTGGAGATGTGGTCACAAGTATACAATAAAAACATTTGGTAAGATTTATGCAATGCGTCTATTCAGAGAAACATACCAACCTGACGTTTCTTTTGCTGCTTAGTATACTACGTTCTGAAGACAGTAACATGTACCCTTACATACTTAAGTATAGTAAGGTGAAAAGTGCGGCTTACTGATAACATGTATATAGAGAATCTCCTACGAGTGTTTTTTGATATCATAAAATATCAATACAAGTTGATAAAGTAAAAAAAAAACCAGGCCAAATATTATAATATGTACAGCATATATTATCAATGGTTAAACGCCTACGCGATACATCATCAGGTCTGCCATGTAGTCAAGTGCAGTGATTTCGAATTCCCGCTTGTACACGAGAAGGGGTATAGTCGCCTATCCAACCTCGTGGGCTCCTCCGGGTCTTCACGCTTTCTCCCACACCTAAAGACCCCTAGGCGCAGCGAATTATTTAAAAAATGTTGACCGATAAGTCAGTCCAGAAATGACCTGTTCTGTGTCGAGTAGACCTTACACCCCCCCCCCCCCTCCTCTATCTCTTGCTTGCTCGGATTACATCGTGTTGAAATACACAAGCAACGTCGCATAATTATTGTGTGTGGGTGCAGAGATATGCATCGATTTTAACTCTATAATTTACATGACAGCGGGTTTAGCTGTGCGTGGAGAACAGTTCTTATTATATTATATACTATACATCACTGCATATGGTTTGTGACCTAGAGAACAGCTGACATTATTATGTATATTATATAAATCGTTTGTGAGCTGAATATCTTTTGACCTATATCTCCCTATAGCCTACTCTACACACAGTGTAAACACCAACAGGCCTGTACCAACATTACTGAAACAATACTGCTTGAATAGGAGTCATTATGTAAAAAAGCTGTCCCGTGTGTAAGATGTATTTGTGAAAATTAACTGGCTTCAGTATTATATAATTGGGTGGAAATAGGCCTTAAACAACAACATTTGTAGTTGAAAATGGCTGATTATAGAATTAGAGACGCTGTAATTAATGATTGTGAAGGAATATTTAAAAACATAAAGGTAAAGTACTAATCTATATGTAACCTACATATGCCGACCCAAAATAATTTCAACACTGTTTTAATAAAAGCTTAACATTTGGATATATACACAATGACATTATTTCTGACGTGCTCCTCGAAAAGTACTTGAAGTTTAGACAAATAATCATATCTATCTATATATATATTTGTGACTGTCGTTTGTCTGTCTGTCTGTCTGTCTGTTCGGGGTTGGCGGCTACACTAGGTCTGCCCCGAGTCTGAAATTTGGGGTATAGGGGTAGCTCGGACCGGGGGGTAACATAGGCCAGGTGGCGTTAGTCTACCACTTCCGGTTTCGGAGTTATGACCCCCGAGCGAAGCCGGTCTGTTCGGGGTTGGCGGCTACACTATGTCTGCCCCGAGTTTGAAATTTGGGGTTTATGGGTAGCTCGGACCGGGGAGTAACATAGGCCAGGTGGCGTTAGTCTACAACTTCCGGTTTCGGAGTTTTGACCCCTGAGCGAAGTCAGTCTGTTCGGGGTTGGCTGCTACATCTGCGGTAAAGGGGTAGCTCGGACCGGGGAGTAACATAGGCCAGACGTGGCGTTAGTCTACCACTTCCGGTTTCGGAGTTATGACCCCCGAGCGAAGCCGGGTATCCTGCCAGTCTATACTAATATTTGTGACTGTCGTTTGTCTGTCTGTTCGGGGTTGCCGGCTACACTAGGTCTGCCCCGAGTCTGAAATTTGGGATATAGGGGTAGCTCGGATCGGGGAGTAACATAGGCCAGGTGGCGTTAGTCTACCACTTCCAGTTTCGGGGTTATGACCCCAGAGCGAAGCCGGGCATTCTTCTAGTACAACAATAACGATAACATAACAAAAACTCGGGTCTAAGCTTTCTGTCATAGAAGTCACGGTGGCTCAGTGAGTAAGAGATTGGCTCGCTAACCTTGAGGTCCCGTGTTGAATCCCTGTTTTGACCGAAAACGTTTATCGGGATTTTCCAGCGTGGTTCCACCTCGTCAGTGTTTCAGGGCAGAAGGCCTCGCAAGGGACAACTTATAATCGTTCGGATGGGACGGAGAGGCCAAGTCCCGTGTACACAGTGGCGTGCACGTAAAAGATTCCCTGACAGTTGAAATTCGATATAAGAGTAGGCTGTAGTGCCGGTGTCCGGGCTAAATTTCCCTCATTGCACACTGTATTGCGCATGTCCGTCTTCATTAGACCAGTCGGAGCAGAACAGTTGGACGGTAAACCCCTTTTCATTTTGTTTCTTTCTTTCATGTACAGTTGTTCACTTGATTAGCATAATAATAGCAGAATAATTTTACGCTGGATCCCATATGATTTCATTTTCTTGCAATTATTAGCATATGTGCTTCCCTGAGCCTTTTATTTCACTAGTACGTGTAGATTTCATTGAGTTTTATAGAACAACAATGATAATTATTGGGGCGTGGCGCATATTGTCGACACCCCTGACACCGAGAAAAAACTACCAATAAAATTGTAATAATTTAAAGATACATTATAGAAGATTAGATAAATAGCTGACAGTTCTCACTATAATAGTTAAAAACTAGATGACGTATGGGAATTTGCTGAAAATTTCAGTCAAATTGATTCACTCTAAGCCAAGAAAACCGTATTTTAACATCTTTGTAGTCGTGATTGTCGTTGTTACCTCTGTCACGATAATTAACAAAGTCTCGATTACCCAGTTTTGCGTTTAGTCATCAACGGATGGTTGAACAGCAGATGGGATTCAAATCCAATAAAAGTCAGACAGATAAGATGGCATTGAGAGTTGATTATGGTCTTTTCCAGTTAATAATTAATGTCTAATTAATAGTGTATATAACATTTAAGACCTAAAGGTGGTTACTCGTGGTCTGTCTTTACTGTCCTATAAATGGAACGCCCCCACCTTATCTGCACCAAAAAATTGAAATGCAACAAACTTTGTGGACTTTAAGGACGACTTAGATATTGTTATTGTTATAATTCGGATTGCACAATTCAGTAACCGGGCAATTAAGGGCAGGCCTACATTTAAAAAAAACACCATCATTTTCTACAAACAAACTTATATTAAAATGTTCCAAATTCATCTATTATTTTTTTTTTAAAAAAATATAGGAACTAGCAGTCCATCATCATTCTCCAAATGGTGTAAAATTAACAGTCGACAGTAAGTAGCCCCACACATATATCGCTAAATCATTCTGGTACCTGTTTATGTGTAATCATAGCGGAAGGGCCTTGAGGTTTGTGAAACGGAAACAAACGCCATATCTGTTTGTGATATATGTATTGTTTAATGGTCGAGAGCGAGACATTAAGTAATGTATTGTAACAACAAGAGAGCCGTAGGCCCGAGTGTTTTTACAATATATTACGCAATGTCTTAAGCTCGAGACCATTAAACGACTTAAAATACAGACACTCCGCACGTGCTTTTACATTGAAATACGTTACGCGTGTTCAATATTTCAAAATACAGATGTGACGTCACCCTTTGATGTTGGCGTACCATTATTTCAAATAATCGTACGGGCAACTTGCCAAACGTACATTATTTATACTAGTGAAACATTAGACTCACTGTAAAAGCATATCTGTTTGTGATATATGTATTGTTTAATGGTCGAGAGCGAGACATTAAGTAATGTATTGTAACAACAAGAGAGCCGTAGGCCCGAGTGTTTTTACAATATATTACGCAATGTCTTAAGCTCGAGACCATTAAACGACTTAAAATACAGACACTCCGCACGTGCTTTTACATTGAAATACGTTACGCGTGTCCAATATTTCAAAATACAGATGTGACGTCACCCTTTGATGTTGGCGTACCATTATTTCAAATAATCGTACGGGCAACTTGCCAAACGTACATTATTTATACTAGTGAAACATTAGACTAACTGTAAAAGCACGTGCGGGGTGTCTGTTTTTAAGTCGTTTAATGCTCTCAAGCTTAAGACATTGCGTAATATATACGGCCCTCTTGTTGTTACAATATATATAAGTAGGGGATATTCAGAAACAATACAAAACTGCGGAAATGCACAGCTGTTTTTATTAGAGGTAACCAGTGTATGTTAATAACAGGCTAATTGCCTACACTTAAACATAAACAGGCCCCATTTCACTCGCAAAGAGATACACTGTCAAAAGTGAAAATGGACGTTTTTTATTTTTGTCTTAATAATGAGTAATTGCTCCACCAATCCTCAGACATTCAGCAATTCGTCGTGGCATGCTCCTAATCAACCGTCCAATCACAATTTGAGGCAATCTGACCAACTCCACTTGCGGTGCCACGGTCAATTCTTGCAGGGTTGTCCGTTGACGTTGACGTCGACGAACACGTCTCCCGATCAAATTAAACGAAACACGCTAAAGCAAAGATACGCTTAACAGTAAATCTTATGCAAGAACCGATAGGAAAGCAAACATGGATAGGATAAACCAGCACGCGGCAGTTTTCATCAACCCTTCCTTGAAGTGTCAAATTTGACAATGAACCCCTCCCTCGTTTATGGCGCTATTGCGTGTCGCACATGCAGCTCAGTGGTTCTGTTGGGGCGATAAGTTCTTCATCTGTGAACATACTCTCAAAGCATGTCAAGTGTCCATGACTATTTATCGTATCACATCGCTCTCCCATATTTCTCATACCCCACCTACACTGCCGTGTCAAACTATTTAAAGTAGCGAAGTCCGTAACTCAATATCATCCAAAATCTTCGACATTGAAAACACGATTTTTTTTGCAATTTAAATCAGCATTAGTGTTGTGATCTTACCTGGAAAAGATGGGCTTCTGATATCCAATATTTAAGAAAAAATAAAAATTTTACCATTGGTACACGATCGTGTACCATAATGCGTTTCAGCGCCATTTGTAACAAGGTGCTCAAAGAATGAGGCTAGACATATTCCACAAGTCATGTCAAACGGTGATATCATATTCTTATTTGGAGAGCATGCGCAATAAATAATATCGGTGTTGACTGGAATAACCAGACGCTAGAAACTGACTTGCGGTTGAAACTTCTGGAGTATTTCGCCGAACATAACTGACGACAATTCACAGTAAAACGGACACGATTGAATGTAGATCAGTTTATATAAATTCATATTACATTATTATATGTGTTGCGACCCATTTGTGCCAATTTATAGATCCCAAATATTAGCGATTTAGCTCCTTTAACCTAATATGGTCAATATACCAACAGCGAATATGTTCAGGAAGTTTATAGAATTTGAAAGAAAACTGTCATAGAACAGTATACAGTGGACGCTTGTTTTGTACATTGTTTCTTGTCAGTAGGTATCGTGTGTGTGATTACGGCTTAAATGTGACAGGGTGTAGAGCCGCCTGCCCAACCTCGAGGACTTTCTCCCGGTCTTCCGCCCCCACCCCCGCATACACTGCTAAAGACCCTTGCGTGCAAGTGAATTATTGATATTAAATTGAACCACAATGTCAGTCCCGAAATGACCTAGTTATGCTTAATCCTTGTCATAGTTACTTTATGTCCTTTGAGCTTCTTCCGCATTTCTATGTTATGTTTTACAGCCCTTAAAAAAGATGGTTTTGGTGAAAATCCTCTATTTAGATGTCAGGTTGCTGAAAATATTAACTCAGGTATCACATTCTTACCTATAATATTCCGTGGTATGTGGTCCCATATTCCCTTGTCTTATGTTTATATACCATGTGTACTTCAAGGTGTAACATAGTTGAGTTCCTTATTCTATTAACATCCACTGTGGCCTGTCATTTTAATATTTAGTGGAGTTGGCTATGCTATTGGTATCGGAGTGTGACTGTGGAAACAGAACTTCTAATTACATGAAAATGGGACCAAATGTGTGTATAATAGGTTTAGATATGAATGTAAAAGCGGTCTGTGCGGAGTTTTGGGTGATTACATATATGTAACAGGGGAGAGAGAGGGGGGGGGCTGATAAAGTCCACTAAACACAAACTAGGTCATTCGGATTCGGGGATAACATATGGTTCTATTTCATTTATTCGCTTGCACGTAGGGACCTTTAACAGTGGGGGGGAACCGGAGGACCCGGAGAAAACCCACGAGGTTGGACAGGCGACCCTACTCCTTGTCACATTTTATGTAAATAAAATTAAAAACCATATGTTAGTCCCGAAATGACCTAGTTTGTGTCGAGTGGACGTTAAACCCCATTTCTCTCTCTCTCTCTCTCTCTACATATTCGGGCATGTCTTCCGGTCTTTTATCAACCTTCTAAGCTCATCCTAGCCCGATGAGCTAACTTCTGGAAAAGATTAACGTACATCGTGTCTTCCTAAGAATGTCAATTGGTCTGCCCTATCGGGGTGAGTTCTGGCCCCGATTGCGCAAAGCATTTTCAGACTTAATTTAAGAATTTACTCAACTTTTAATCAATGTTTATGAGAAATATCATTGATCCAGAAACAGAAAACTTTCCACATATCAATATATCTTTTATTGATATATTTGATACATTAAAACAACGAAAGTTTTAAAATAAGGCGAACCATGTTTAGTAAATTCTTAATCTAAGTCTGAGAATGCCTTGTGAACTCTGGGTCTAGTTTGTTATATCCCTGACACCATGGCAGCAATCCCTAAAAAGCAAAACAAAAGCTTAAACGGGCGCAATGATAAACACATGCTATACAAAAGCTCAACGGGCGTAAGGAAAAACACATCCATACAAAAGCCCAACGGGCGTAAGGAAAACATTGCCAAATTAAAGCTCAAACGGGCGTAAGGAAAAATTGCCATACAAAAGCTCAAACGGACGTAAGGAAAACATTGCCATCAAAAGCTCAAACGGGCGTAAGGAAAACATTGCTGTTTGGAAATTTTTATTTGGAAATGCCACGTTTAATTGTATTTCAGGGGAGATAATCGGGCACGCTTTATTCTTTCCATTCTACAGTTCCTGGATAGGAAAGGGTATGTTTATGGAAGATTTATTCGTTACAGAGCGCGAACGAAGTAAAGGTGTGGGTGTCGCTCTCCTGAAAAGATTAGTACAGGTATGCCATTTATATCTCTGTTCTATCGAGTTCCATTCGACCATTTGAGTCAAAGCTACTTTATTGCCAAATGAATACGTCCAAACAGCGGCGATAATAATAGGATAAATCCCATGAGGGATATCTGACTGATAAATATTATATTATAAATGATCTTATAATGGATATAAAACACAACTCTTAATGATATTTTCCACTAATTATAGATTTCGAACGATGTGCATTAAGCTATTACGTTGTTTCAATGTCATTTAGTGATTGACATGGACACAGCCATCATCTCAAAGTCGATGCAGAACAACAAGACGTTAATCCCCATTTCGTTTCATTTAATCTTAAAATCACTCAACGTGGATGCCTTGGAGATAGTGTTGGAAAAAACGTCTTATCGTCTTAAAAGTACATTCCGACTGCCACGTTAGTGCGGGGTGACAATATTGTGGAAGATATTGTGACTTGCCTTGACGGCATCAAACATTCATTCGCGCCGATTATTGAGTAAAATAACGTAAATATAGCCCCATCGTGTCACCGTGTTCGGAAAACTTTCTCCTATGACTTGGGTTATTGTCCCATCCGAATGACTAGACAGTTGTCCTTGTCAGGCCTTCCGTCCTGTATCACTGAGAAGGGGGAACCACTCCGGAAAATCTGGATGGACTTTCTCGGCCAATGCAGGGATCGAACACCCGACCTCCAGGTTAGCGACCCAGCGTCTTACCCACTTAGCCACCTTGACCCCCGACAGGGCTAATGAAGACGGGCATAAGCTAGTAGGTTTGGCTTGAGGGAAATGTTGCCCGCCCAGCGGCGCTACGGTCTACTGTTAAATCGAATTCCACTTGTCAAGGGATCTTTAATGTGCACGTCAACCTCTTACTAACTGAACCACTAATTAATGATACGTGTACTTGTTATACTTATAACAGCTTTGTGTAGAAGAGGGTTTTATTAGACTCCAATGGGAAGTAATGGAATTCAATAAACGAGGGATGAATTTCTACAATAAACAAGGTGCTCAAGATACGACTGCAGATGGTGGAAGGAGGGTTTTTAGATTTAATAAAGAACAAATGGAGGAATATCTACAATAGGCTTGCTGAATAGAGTTCCGACAATTCTAGGATCAAATGTATGACTTTTAATTTTTAATATAATCTCATACACTTTCAGTTGTTCTTTCATTAGAAAGCGGGAGGAAAACGTACTGCTAGGTTTTAATTAGAAGAATAACACAGATTCTTTAGAGTTTAGAGGACTGTTATTTCTCATTTAACACCGCTAAATTAGCGATCTAGCACCGCTAATATAAATTTGAAACGTTTGATCACTGACATTTTGAGATTGGAGTTATTTCCCATTTACCAATGCACGGTAAATCCAGGATTCTGCTTTAGACCTGTTTTGTCTGTATAGATTATCCTTGATAATGGGTTGCCATCTTCATTAACCCAATTAGTACGGAATAGTAAGACGTTAATCTCCATCTCATTTCATTTTCCAGAGTGTCTTGACTACCCCAATTAAATAATAATTGCAATGCATCATGTGTTATATAACATATTAACCCGTGGTGATGGGCGTGGACAGGCCTAACCACTAAAAGGCTTCTTATTGGGGCGTAGGCCGAACAGAATCAGTGTTCACACCTGGCAGATGTCGTGCATTCGGAAAGTACTGGAACGTTGGATATCAACAAATGAATTGATTAATGAATTAATCAAGAGAGAGAGAGAGAGAAATGGGGTTTAACGTCCACTCGACACAAACTAGGTCATTTCGGGACTAACATATGGTTTAATTGTATTTACATAATTCGCTTGCGCGTAGGGGTCTTTGGCAGTGGGAGGAAATGAGGAGGCCCCGGAGAAAACCCACGAAGTTGGACAGGCGACCCTACTCCTTGCCACGTACAACCGGGGATTCGAAACCACGTCAGTCGACTCAATGACAGACTTTATGATACAGCGCGCGCACGCTAACCATTCAGCCATCCAACCCCCCGAATTAATCAAGGAATGAATGTATAAATGAATGAAATGGGGTTCAACCATACACCTTTCTGGGCTAATGAAGATGGAGTATATGAAAGAATGGTGGATATAAACCCCGTCCACCCTCTGTGGCATTTCACACCTGGCCAGACAGAAATCATTGTCAGATTCTTTACTTTCCAAAACTAAACGATTAACACCATTGTGTACTGTATGCAGACAATTTATTACAAATATCGCAATATACATGACATATAAAACAGAAATATCAAACCAATAAATTAAAACCAAATGGATAAAAAATAAATGACTGCTAAATGTTCAAAAGACATTTTTTTGTTCTGATTCATTCTGCAGAAGAGATTTATAGCTATAGATGTAAACCGAAAATTTTTTTTATAATAATATTTCACGTCGGGTTTTACAAGTAATTTATATTTAAAGGGTCCAAATCTATTTTGATTTAGATCAGATCAAATGTTGAAGTGAAATGAAATGGGGTATAACTTCCGACGTTTTTGCATGACATGAAGACCAATTTCATTTCATTTGCACCGACTTGTTTAATGAAGGCGGTCATAGGCCATGCAGTGTGCTCGAGAATATTTTATCAGGTAACTCTCTATTTCGTATGCCTTCTTTGACGTATGGGATACGGCTTTTCGTCCCATCCGAACGACTGGGCGTTGTTCTTGTGAGGTCATCCGTACTGCATTGAACAGAGGTGATGTATGACATTTGGTAAGCTATTTCAATAATAGATTTTAGTTCGAATTGGTATTTTTTGATTGAGTTAGCTTTTAATAGATTTCAGTTTCTTAGTTTACTTAAACTGTTAAGAAAGGTATTGGTTCACTAAGATCCCACTTGTGGCTGCGATAAATTTCCCCGGGGAAACGCCGCTGTACAGACAAAATATATCTCATAGCACACTGCATGCCCTATGCGCGTCTTAAACCCAATTTCATTTCATCTCTGTTGATTGTCTACTATATTCCATATTTTTAATGGTTGTATCTACTGGCGTAACAATATTGACAAAAACATATGTTTACCAACACAAGTAAATCAATCATACCACAGAATTTAACCTTTCGTGGTATATGTGTTAGCAATAAAACAGAACACAATGAATCAAAGAAAGTTGATGAGGAAGTGTGAAAAAATCGCAGGATGTACGTAATGATAAATGTCGATATCTATATACATATACAGAGAATACGTGTACATAAATAGATAATACGGTCTAGGTAATAAACACATTGAATTATGGAAGTTTGGTGTCTAGATATAGACACGCTGAATCAAGGACGCTCGGTGTCTAGGTAATAAACACGTTAAATGACGGAAGTTCGTGGTCTAGACAATATACACGTTGAATCCAGGACGACAGATGTCTAGACAATAAACGCGTTGAATCAAGGAAGTTCGGTGTCTAGACAATAAACACGTTGAATCAAGGAAGTTCGGTGCCTGGACAATATAAATCATAAAATTATAACTAAATAAATTATATGCCTCAGTCAAATTATATGCAACGGTCAAATTACCAGGGTGGTATTTATTGCATGAAATGTATTTTAGAACTAATTTGAGGACCCCTTTTATATTTGGTTGCAGTTCAGTCAGCCCTCCCGATCATTCAGTCCTGGATACGTATTTTGATGATATTTAAAGTCGCTTGATAGTTCTCGGTATGACTTCAGATCTGGTCAGCTGACAAACATCACTCATCGAAACACTGGGGTCATCGGATATCAGAAATGCTCTAGCTCTATCCTCGTAGTATAGTCCTACTTTATCTACAATGGACGAAATGTGAAAAATAAATGTGTCTGATAATCCCCTTGATTGTTATTAATATGGTTAAAAGGGTATAACATTATATTTATAGTAGTATATTTATATAGACATTACATTAATACATCTAGGGTGTTATGTTAATAATTTATATTTATATTAATAATTTATATTAATATTAATAATTATAGTAGCGGTATATTCATAATTTTAGTAAAGACATGTTAATTATCTGTTCGAGCATTATATTAAAAACTATTAATATATGACGCTATACATGATATTCATAGTAACGTTATATTCAAAATTATAGGGGCGTTATGATAGAGTTTATAGAAATAATTGTAGGGGCGTACTATTAAAAATTATAATGGATTTATAATAATAACTATAGTTGATTTATAATAATAATTATAGGGGGCTATATTAGTTATTATAGGAGATTTATATTAATAGTTATATTGGGGTTATGTTAAATATTATATGAACTTTATATTAATAAGGTAGCGTCAAGTAATGACAGGGGCGTTATATTAACAATTATAGTAGATTTAAAATAACAATTAAAGTAGATTTATGATAACAATTAAAGTAGATCTATAATAACAATTATAGGTGAGTTATATTAACAATTATAGAAGAGTTTTATTAACAATTATAGGAGATTTATGTGAACAATTATAGTATATATATAATAACAATTATAGGAGACATATTAACATTTATAGGAGATTTATAATAACAATTATATGAGAGTTTATTAACAATGATAGGAGATTTATAATAATAATTATAAGAGATTTATAATAACAATTGTAGATTCATAATAACCATTATAGTAGATTTATAATAACAATTATAGGAGATTTATAATAATTATTATAGGAGAGTTATGTTAAATGATATAATAGAGATGTATTAATAATATAGTACAGTTGTATTAATAATATAGTACAGTTGTATTAATAATTCAGATATACATATTTATTGTGCTACTTACGAGTCAGTTCATACATTTCGAAGGAGGAAGAGGACGTTTTTTGAAAATCCAAGCAAAAGTATATTTTAACTGCTACACCGAACAATCTTTCCACATTTGAACTGGAACGGAAATAAATAATTATTTACAACTGATCTTTCTCTAGAAGTGAAGAATATTTTCAGAGTGGGTCTACTTGAATATATTTTTAATTACTTAAAGATACATTATGTAAGGTTTAGATAAAGAGCTGGACGTTCTTGAATCAATCTGATTAAAATACAGATCTATATTTCATTTCCTTTTTTAAAAAAATACTTTTAATGGCCTACACTTCATGAAGATCTGACTAGTTGTACTGGGGGGTCGCGTCGGGGTCATACAGGCGGCTCTTGACCTATGACGTCAGGCATTGATTAATCAATCAGCGTTGATGTTTCTAGGAGTTCACCCACAGTTCCGTGCAGAGAACGCCAAGAACTGGTTGTAACAGATCGTTTCACTGGTTCATTCCTCACATCAACTAGAACGTCTGTTATATAACGACTCTTCCGGATTCTAGTGTTGTGAAGACAAGTAAAACGAAATTTTGAACTATAAAAAAACGAAACGAAATAGGTTCTGTGTTTTAATCAGGTTATTCTTAAATATGTTTTAAATTGCACTCAAATTACTTTATTCTGTGCGATGTGGTGAGTGTTTGAATTTTGACAAAATGTAGCATAGATTGTCTTTTTTATCGATTATCTACATGTATTTTATCATTAACTCTTAAATGTGGTGTTATTTGTTTAAAATCGATGTCCTCCAATGGCACAGAGAGTTGATTAAAAAAGAAGTTATATAACATTTGAAGCCCAAAAAGACCTGAAATAGATAGATTTACCGCTCACATAATGCATATTTAATTTGATTATAAAAACAGGCTTTTGGGTTTGTTGACGGGGTGCTGTGGCAGATTTCTCTGGCGCTAAACACCCCCAAAATAGCCCAGATTGCAATTTATATTTTAAGTTCGTATTCTTCTTTTAGTGCTTAACGTTCGCTTCCACCGGTGGTGATATCACAGACACGGTGTCTTATTTTATTTTGCTTAGTGCACTAACAGGGGTCTTTCCTGGGGCGGGTGGAGGGGTGGAGGTGAGAAGGCGGCCCTATCTCCAAGCCACAAGCTCGAAAAGTGACACTCTAGACCACTACCCCCGCCCCAGTGTTTTTGTTAAAATGTTAAAACTTTTAATATTTGGAACTAAACGTTTTTGAGAAGAGCAACTAGGCTAAGATAACAACTTTTCATTGGGTAAAGCAGAGGCAAAATATTTAATATGTGTTTCCGACGAACATACATTAAAATTGTTGTGGTCTGAGGATGACTTACCTAAAGACATATTTAGATCCC